GGCAGGTGGCCTTGGGCCTTTACCTCTCCCTGTAGCTGGCTCACTTTTCTACAAGCACTGGATCTGCCAGGGCCCAGGGGTGGGGTGGAGAGCGCCCTGCCCAGCCCTCCCAGCGAGTGTACCACTTGTGGCAGAAGCCAAATTTCTTTAATATATTACACGTATGTGTGCACTCACGTGACGTGTGTGTACTGGGAGGGGATCTATTTATGTTCCTCGGGGAGTCATTCTGCAGGAGCCTTGCCCGCTGCTCCGTGTGTTCGCGCAGGTTCCCGACAGGTTTTCCCTCCCGTTCAGTAAAGGTGCTCTTCCTGGGACGCACTATACCCTGGTGATTGTGATTTTTTAAAGGCCTTTTTTTCTTCCGGCTTAATGTACTGAGGAAGAAGTGGGGACTTTAACACCGTCAGTTTTAGGGTGCTCTGGCTGTGTGTTAAATGGCCTCTGGTTCTGGAACACGAGGAGGGGGTTGTAATAAATGATGGGGTAGAACCGAGTCCTGGTTTTCCTCCCCGCTCGTCACTGGCAGTGTGGATGGGGCGGTGGGCTTTCAGGGCTCCGCAGCCCCTGGAAGCCACAGCCTTCTTGGCAGGAGGTCAGAACGTGAAAGGCAGGTTTCCATTGACCGTGCAGCAGCTGTTCCCGGACTCGCATTTGTTTTCATTCGAGTCCCGTTTCGTCGTGGAGTTTGTATCGCAGCAGGAGCTGAGCCTCAAGTGACCCTTCCGGTTTTTCTGAGACCGGTCAGCAAGGCAGCGCCAGTGGTTAGGGCCTGGGGCCTCCCCAGTCAGACGCCTGAAGATGAGGAGAGGCAGGCACACACAGGTGTCCCTGAGCAAGTCGTCACGGTCTGTCCAGCTGATGCCTCCACGTGTCCGTCCGTCCTCACCAAACCTCTTCTGCAAAAGTGCCTCCTGCCTCCTTTCCCATTCCTTCCCCAGATTCTGCAACCTGTCCTACCGCACCAGGGCAACTGCCGTCCGCAGTACTTTGAGCCACCCTGAGTGAGCAGTGGCACTTCGCAGTGCAGGCTTCATCCCACGTGGCCTTTGGCCTCGGCTGGATTGGACACCTGGGCAGTCACTCCTTGGAGCTCTCAGCCTCTGTATCACGATTGCCTCCCTCTGGGTGCAGCTGGAGTGCTCAAACTCACCAATTCCTCAGGCATTCCTTCTTTCCACGGTCACTGAAAGCTTCCTGTGTGCTGAGTCCCAGGTCCCACCGTTGGGGCATCTCCCTCCCATGCCACCCCTTCAGGGCTGACCTCACCTGGCTCCCTAGCACGGACCACCCCTGAGCTTCAGGCCCAAGGTCAGCCACCTGTGACACACACACACCCACCCACCCACCCACCCCGCCTGGGCTGCAGGCTCCCTGGCTCATTGATACAAGCTGTCAGTCCCATGAGCCCGGAATGCAGATTTGGCTCCTTCCCCACATTCGGCATGTTACAGGTCACCTGGACCTGAGAGGGGGTCTGGAATCTGCACACCCCCTCAGCCACCTGTGCTCATCTGAGTTGCACACACCCTGACCCTGAGTCCTGGCAGGGGGCCTGCCAACCGGTCTGCCTGCCTCAAGTTAGCCACTGTGGCACCTCTCAGGCACTCACCCCAGATGACCTGCCTTGAACATTCCCCTCTGTGGTCTGGGTTCTTCACGTGACTCACCTCAGGGTGCACCCAAGCCTCCCATCACTCTTCCCACCCCAGGCAAGTGCGTACACATCCACGGCTTTAATTACAATCTTAGAAGGCTTCAAAGATACTCCTCGCCCCAGCCTCTCGGAACCTCCAGATCTGTCTCAGGCTTGAATGTCCCAAAGACACCTCCAGCCAAAAACGCCCAACACAGTCTACCCTCCTCCTCCCCCGCCAGAGCCTGTGCTGCTCCTCTCGTCCCATCGGGCCCCTGACACCCGGGCAGTGTCCAGCATCCTCTCCCTCTTCCCTACGTCCCATCCATTACTCTGTTGGCGGGGTCTGTGGCTGAGGGGGACACCCCAAATCTCATCCCTGCTGAGCTGCAGGCACCCCAACTCTGCACTGGCCTGGGAGACGTGTGATCTGGTGGGTGAAAAATAACCCAAGTGACAGCTGGACATTCGTGCCCAGAGTTCAGGGCGGTGGTCTGCCGGAGAGACATCCCCAATCACCTGTGGGGCAAGAGGGGCGCACCCTGGGGAGAACTGGAAGGTGAGACCATCGGAAAAAGTAGGGCAAACTGGGCAGCAGCCAGCCAGATGTTTATCAACCAACTGGGAGGGAATGTATCTATGTATACATGTTTCTACATGCACACACATGTGTACATACATGTGTGCGGGCAGCCCACTGATTCCCTCAGAAAGCTCTTGTTGATTTTTGCCAAACGCATGTATTTATAGCCAACCTGTGCTCGCACTCAGCTGACAAGTGAGTATAGCTGCAGTTTGCACGTGGATGATACTTTCTCTTGGCTTATCAAGTAAGACAAGTAGAAGGCATGTGAGAGAACCTCTCCTGTCCGCCAGCGTGGGAGACTGCTCAGCCCGGCCGTCGTCTTCCGAATACCAGGTGACATTCCTCAGTCTCCTGTGCTGTTCGCCTTGTAATGGCTACAGGTGTAAAAAAAAAAAAGTACGTACCATAATACCCAAGACACACTTTTAAGCCTAATCTGCACTAATAACATTTTCTCCACCACTTTCTGAAGTCTAGCGACAGAAAACATGAAAACAAATCAAGCCCTGGTTTGGTAACATTTGCCCATGTCTGTGTTGTAAATATTTTCACCACGGCCAAGTTCAAGCTGCCAACGTGGTGTCACCAACCACAGAGGTGGGAAGAGATGTGTGGTGTCACCCCGTTATATACGGTCACCTCCAGACAGATGTGACAGGTATAACCCCAGGAGCCTAGGTAACCGTACAGTTAATTACGAGCGGCAAGGTTTGAGTATTTACTACCTTTGTTTTTAATATAAATCATTTAATAGCAGTTTACGTAAGTTAGTTTTTAATGATGGCTGTGTTTAACACCTGGCTTGTGAAATTCCTGGAAACTCACCCATCTGCTAGCAGCCAGAACTGGCTGGCTCCAGCCCGGCACTCGGCCTTTTAGGGATGGGCTGGAAGGGAAGGGACGAGTGAGAAGTGGGCAGAGCAGCTGGGCCCTGAGAGCTTCCGATCCCGGTCCTTGTCAGTTCTTGTCGGTTCAGGTAGGCACAGTGACCTCCCCACACCAGGCACACAGAGGCCACGTGGGCTGTGTCTGGAGGCTGGACACTGCCTGGGCTTCTCTCTCTCTCTCATCCTCCCTCCTTGCCCTCTCCCAGTTGGCAGGGTGGGGAGAGGGGACCTAGGGAGGCAGAAAGACCTGGGGCCTGGGGAAATGGGCACCTCCCCATGTGTGGCAGGGCCGTGGGAGGTGTCCGGGGAGGGCTCAGAAATGTCATTCCCTTTCCAGGCTCTGGTTTTCTGGCCCAGCCCACTGAGAGGTTCACAGAGACGCTTCGTGCGTGCAGTATAACCCGGCAGAGGCAAAACCATCTGCGTGCGCCTCTCCCCCCCCCCGCCCCGAGAGACCTCAAATCACCAAGCGGGAGTAAGCCTCTGGGCCCCTCCATGTTCCCCGCTGGAGAGCGATGGCCCTCACGGGCCCTGCGGGAATCCGCATCCTCCCAAGTCCTCTGGGGCAGCAGCGCCGGTAGCCCGCCCCTGCATTGCCTCCCGGTGGCAGTGGCACGGCCAGCCGGAGCCACCCTGCACCACGCCCCTGCCCGGCCGGTGTGGCCGCCACCGCAGCGTGGCCATCCTTCCCTTCTTGATGGCTGGCAGGCCGGGTAGGGAGGGGCTCGGCCTGCACGGTCCATCTGCAGCCGGGATTCTTGCACCCGGGACCTGAATGAGGTGAGTGCCAGGGACAGCTCTGCTGAGGGTGAGGCTGGGGGGCAGTGGAAGTGTCAGCAGGGACGACGGCAGCTGTGGGCGAGGAGGCCAGAGGAGACCATGCCTTCAGCAAGGCTACCCGATGTTCCTGGAGCGGAAAATTAAAAATCCAGTCCCTGGTACAAAGGCCTTTGGGGGCGTGGAGGAGAAGGGTGGGGAGGTAGGTTCCCTGTCATTCCAGGGTCCGAACTGATCCTGCTTTTGGTGTCCAGGGACCCACCAGCACTTGGGTGGCATTTGGGGGCACAGGAGGCCAGAGAGAGTAGTCCTGCCCAGGGTCTCTTGGGTGGGGGCAGATCTCAAAAGTCCAACACTGCCCAGGTTCCCTCGGGACAGGCCCTGACTTGTGAAGATGGCAACTGAAGGCCACAGAAGGGCGCTGCCCTAGGGGCGCAGGGACCCAGCGCAGGGCAGGCTCCCCTGGGTCCGGTGGCCTCTGAGCAGCTTGGGGCAGTGCCCTCCTGCCCTGGGGGACCAGGGCAAACGAACATCTACGGACTGCCTGCTGGCGCCTGGCACTCGTCCTGCCTCAGCCCCTTCAACTGTCTCCACCAGTCCCGGCCACTCATCCATCACCGGGCCTCGGTGCACTTCAACTTCAACTTCAGCCCCCGCCTCCAGTACGTACAGGGCTCCCTATCCACTGCACCATGCACACTGCGAGCATTCCCGGGGCACCTCCTAGTCCTCTCCCTCATAGGTTTCAGTTTAGCAGTCTCCTCTTCCAGGAAGGCCACCCTGACTGCCCTCCTGTCCATCAGGTGCTTTTGGACTCTGGGTTCCCACAGTTCGGTTGTCATAGCTGTTGTCAGAGTGTTGTAATTGCTGTGTTAATCTTAGTTTTCCCTTCTAAATCAGACTTTCAAAAACTCCACCTTCCCCATTTCATTTTATTATATATGTAGGGCAAGAGGAAATTTTCCCCTACCTTCCTACTGCCTCCTCACTCGTGGTTGAATCACACTAAGTTCACTCACGTTTAAGAGGCAATTGCGTTCCACTCCCAGAAGTGGAAACTGAGTGCCCCTGCCACAAAAGATAATTAAATGAAAACAAGACATAGAACACCAAGCAGCGTTATTAAATTATAATTAATACCTGTTACAAAGGGAGATTAGCGAGAATTAAAGTCGCACTCAAAACGGACAAGTGTCCAACTGAGTGTTCTCCTTAGTGTAACAAGACGGATTAAGAAGGAATTAGACTGGGAATAACAAGCCATATGGCTAAACTCCCATCAGTCAGCACCTGCCGAGTGCAGGGTACCACACAGAGCCCAAAGCAATACAAAACAAAGCGTCAGTTTACCCTGCATCAGCTGAAGGGTCGCTTCCTCCAGGAAGCCCATCCAGCTGTGCTTCCCTTAACAAGCTGCACTCCTGCTGTCACACGTCTTGTGTTTTACTGTAATGGCATATTGGCTTCCACCACAGAGCCTAAACTCCGTAAGAACAGCCACCAGGTCTGTCTCGCTCAATTCACCATCCAGGTCCCCATCCCCAGGGCCTGGAGCCAGGAGCTGGATGAGCAGATGCATGAATAGCTGGGTCCCTTCCCACAGAGCCTTTCCTTCCTCCTCCTCCTCCTGGTCCAAACCCCATACTCTCCATCCTTCCAGGCCCTGCCAAGGGTCCAGCCCCTCCAGGAGGCCTTTCGTCAGCCAACAGAGCCGGCCCTGAGCTCTCCTGCCCTGAACAGTCCATCTCTGGCCTGCGGCCAGGGGACGTTCAGTTCCTTGGCCAGGCTGTTTCTTCACCTCGAGGGGCAAGCAGCGCGGGCGGCACAACCGTGCCTCTGTCCCTGCTGTGGTGACTCACTGTGGTTCTTCCTTCAAGGATGCAGCCGTGTTGGGTCTTGGCAGCTGTACGAGTTCCCTTTGGTGGTTGTAACAAATTCCCGTAAACTTGGTGGCTTAAAACAATACAAATGTAGGCCCTGGCCGGGTGGCTCAGTTAGTTGCAGCATCGCCTCCTACACCAACAAGGTCACAGGTTCCATTACCAGTCAGGGCTCCTGCAGAAGGCAACAGATTTCTTACATCGATCTCTCTCTCTCTCTCTCCCCCCACTCCTTTCCACTCTCTAAAATCAGTAAGTATATCTGCGGGTGAGGGTTAAAAAGAAACACAACTTTATTACCTTACAGTTCTGGAGGCCAGAAGTGGGTCTCGGGGTGTTGGCACGGCTGAGTCTTTCGTGGAGGCTGGAGGACAGAACCCACTGCCTTCCCAGCTTCCAGAGGCTGCCCACCTTTCCTGGCTTGTGGCCAACCCCCATCTTCAGAGCCAACAGTGGCTGGTCGCCCCTTTCCCACCCTGCATCCCTCAGTGCTCTCCCTTTCGGCTGTGCAGGTTAATCTCCTTCACCTACCACATCTGCAAAGTCCCTTTTGCCTTGTAAGGCAACACATTCACAGGTGCAGGTTAGGATGCATGGACATCTTTGAAGGGATCGTTACTCTGGCTGTCACAACAGTTGTCACAATAGCTGTCTCTCCCTGGTAGTCAGAGGGCGCCGTGGCTGGCGGCACATTAACAACAGCTGGCATCCACCGAGCACCCCCTCGGGGCCAGGAACTGCTCTGAGCTCACTACCCAGCACCCCAGGAGGCAGGGCCCCGCTGCCCTCCTCACGTTACAGGTGGGGCGCTGAGAGGCGAGGTCGGTTGGCAGATGGCAGAGCTGGGATGTGAACCCGGGCAGTCTGCAGTTCAAGGCTATGCCACCTTTCCAGCACCATTACCACCCCCAAGGCACTAGCTCACAGCCTGGGAGCCGGGGGGGGGGGGCAAGGCCTGAACCCAGCCCGCAGGGATTTCCCAGCATTTCTGGACGAGGCCCCAGTCTGGGTCCCACAGTCCTCGCCAGTCCACCCTACCACCCACCCCTGTGCGAGGCACCCACGCTCATCCAGGGGGACCGCAGGGAGCTGGGAATGGTTCTCTCTGGGGGCTCCGGGCAGGCACACCTGGAGGAGCTCCTGGATGCTGGACGCCACTCATTTCGCCTCTGTCCTCCACCAGCATCCACACACCAGGGAAACGGGAGCCCCTTAGCAGCAAATTTAGCAGCACGTTGAAGAAAATAAACCCCACGCCCCAGCTCGGCCTCACGCAAGCCTGTATACCGGAGCCGGGGGCACACACAAGCCTTGCACAGGCCGGGGGTGAAGAGGCTACCCCAGCATTTGCTGAGCGCTGCCTAGAACAGTTCTAAGAAGTTTTTAAAAATACTTATTAACTCACTGACTACTGTGAGATGTTATTCCCAATTCCACAGATAAGGAAACTAAGGCACGGAGAGGTCATAACTTTCCGAAGTCGCCCAGCCAGTGTAAAGAGCCGGGACCCCATCCATTGTCCATAAGCAGGAGACGAGGGCAGAGGCTGGTCAAGGCTGGCTGAGCAGCCCCAGCCTGGGCCCCGCCACCCCGCCTTGGTCGGCCAAGCCCCCCTTTGTACCTTCCCAGCTCAACTGGCTCCCCTGGCACCTCCGAGGCTGCACTCCTGGCTTCTGTGCCAACCTGTTTTCCTGAGAGCACCCTTATGTCTCATCCTTCAACTGATCTTCCTTATTAACCTCGCACTGTTCTTAAAAGATTTCATTATTTATTTTAGAGTGAAGGGAAGGGAAGAAAAAAGGGAGAGAAACATGGATGTGCAAGAGATACATCAATTGGCTGTCTCTAGCATGCCCCCAACTGGGGGCCTGGCCTGCAGTCCAGGCATGTGTCCTGACTGGGAACCGAACCAGTGACCTCTTGGTTTGTAGGCCAGCAACCAATCCACTGAGCCACACCAGCCAGGGCCATTATTAACCCCATTTGAAAGAAGAAGAAGCTGAGGCTCAGGGACACTACATAATTCGCCAGAACTCTAACAACCAGAAAGCAGCAGATTTGGGACTCAAGCCTAGACATTCAGATGTCACCTCCCCGCCCAGCTGCCTCAGCCTGAGCAAGCCCAGCCTGAAGGCCTCCCCAGCTCTCCAGGTGTGTGCGCTCACACTGTACCTGGGCTTCAGCTGCCCTTCCACCAGCCCGGGAATTTCCTGCCTTCCCGTCCTCATTAGTCACGTCCGATCTGAGAGCAGTGGGTCGCCCTGAGTGGGAGTGGAAACACTGCCCCGTTAATCAGTCCAGTCCTCTGATTAATCAGCTCAGGCCCTAGCCTGCCGGAGTGTGGTTAACACCAGAAAAAAATCATGGTCAGAAAAATCCTTCTTACCGCCTGAAACTGGCCTGGGAAGTGCTCGGCTGCAGGGCGAGTATTTCTCAGAAGGAAAGTGTGCACCTGAACGAGGGCCAGGAAGCTCACAGGCAGGAAGCATGGGGTGGGCTGCAGGCAGAGGCCTGAGGCTGCGGGGGAACCGAGATGAGCTGGCACCGGAGCCTAGTGAGGAAGCAGGACTCATTCAGCTGTTTGGGATGCAGAGAGGGAATTCCTCTGAGGCTGGCCAGCTGTGCTAACTGGAAGACTGAACTGGAAAATCAGTGATTTTTGTTTTCTGGTAGAGCATCTGGGTGCCCCTCTAAAACACACGCACATCGTCTCCATTAGAGAGTGTGCGGGAAGTGGTAGGGCCACTTCCGCAGCAGGTGGGGTCTTGGTGGAGAGCAAGAGGCACAGTCAAGCAGGATGACAGAGGGGAGGTCAGCACACGGATGCTGTTCAGATGTGTCGATACTTTTAAAGGAACCAGTGTAGACGGCGTGGTGCCCTGGGACTAGCTGGCACGTGGAGGAGCGGTTACCATCCCGGGCCTGGGGGAAGGAGCAGGGAGAGCAGTACAGGCGAGGGACTGTGACAGGAGCTGGCGACTTCAGTAGAGGATGGCGGCCAACCTGAAGCCACCCTGACAGGTGAATAAATACTCCCTCAACCCCTCTCCCCTCCATCCTCCGATCCCAGTGAGCGCTTCCCATTGGCCAAGCCCAACAAAAGCCAGATGGCAAGGGGACCGGGCAATGGAGTCCACAGAGTAGGATGGGGAAGGGTGAAGAGTGGACCTGGGCCAGCCCATTGAAAGTCCTCTCATACGCCGTCCTGGGCAGCAACCTCTCTCACCCACCTTGCAGCTGGCGAGAGCACCTGCCGTGTGCTTCCCCAGCTCAACACTGGGAAATGCAGATGCCATGGCCCAAACCCCACAGAGGCAACAGAAGTGACATCAATGCCACTCACGCTGTGTCTGGAGAAATTCTGACCAGGTCTCTGCAGCCTCGCCCAGTGTGGGGGGACGATTTTTGTGGGCAAGAAAGTTATTAGCGCAGCATCTCGAACCAGCATTCCATGAACTGGGGCCATAATTCACCATTCTCTAGGTCCAGGAAGGTTCTGGAAAACAATCCACAGTTCATTTTAACTTAGTGAGCTGTGTGTTGTTTAAAAGGCCAATGCCTGGTTTTGTTTACAAAATAACACATTCTGCTGCTCCTGCCAAGGACTGGACATCCTGACACCAAGAAACACAACAATGAAATGAATCTCTTTGCTTGTCTAAATCTCAACTTTCTAAGGGAAAGCGTGGCCAGAGGAGTCAGGCCTGCAGTTCACAGGCCAATTCTGGAGCTTTAAGTAACTAGTATATAAGCACCGTGCTGCTTTGTGTCTAAAAAGTGAAGCATGAGTAAAAACGGAGCTTGTTTTAGTGAAAGGGTATTGAGACTGTGAAAAGTCCTAGATATGTTTGGGCATCTGTAAACAGAGACCATCAGCTACAGAAAGACAGGCAGGGCCCTGGCTGGGTGGCTCCGTTGGTTGGAGCATGGTCCCGTGCACCAAAAAGTTACAGCTTTGATTCCCAGTCAGGATACATGCCTAGGTTCGGTCCCCAGTTGGGGTGCGTACGGGAGGCAACTGATTGATGTTTCTCTCTCTCAAATCAATAAATATAGTCTCGGGTGAGGATTGAAGAGATGAGAGAGAGAGGCAGGGAGACAGGGCCGCCGAGTGCTGAGTACAGTGTTCCCCTCCCCTGGGCTGTGTAATGTGGCCGCCATGGCAGGACTCACATTGTAACAAGCGTTCCACAAGATGGGCACTGTACCCCTGAGTCAAAATTCTGGATCTAGTAACCATGATGATGGGCTTTCGAACCCCAGCCCTCTTCCTGGGGGGATGGGAGGAGTGGGGCAGGGGCACTGCAAGGGGCAGCTCCACAGTCAGGACTCAGGACTGAGCGGCCTGAACCCATCCACTGACCTCAGTTTCCTGATCTGTGAAGGTGAGAGAAGAAAACTACCTGTTGGGGTGAAAAGAGCTTACTCATAAACACTAAGGACACGTAAACATTCAACAGATGAGTGCTGTGTACAAGAGAGTATTTATAGGACAGTAATAACAGCTAACACATATTGAGCCCTAATATGTGCCGGGTGTTGACCTAAGGGCTCTGCTTTATTTAACTCATAGAATCATCTCAGCCCCCCTCTGGAGTCATGTCCTGTTTCACACACAAGGCACCTGGCACAGAGAGGTTTAGGGGCTGGACTCTGGTCACCTTCCTGTAGGTAGCAGAGGTGGGATTCAGACTCAGGAACTCTGGCTTTCAAAGCAAACTCTTAACGACGACTTTCAGTTTAGCAATCTTTAAGAAGTACATGTGCATTTTTATGTCATGAGTAGTTCATCCAGATCACTCTATTTGTGAATATTTTGCAAGAAGGAGAAATTTCAAAATGAGGACAAGCAGAAGAGGCTGAGCCAGCCCCAGAGAAGCACCTGCTGGGAGGTTGCTAGGCGAGTGCCCCGCAGGAAAAGCTAATTTCCCTGCTTCCCCCATCCACCTGCTCCTTCTGCCTCCCCTGCTGGGGTATCTTCTGCCTTCTTGCCCACTGTCCACTTCCTTCCAGAGACCCACCGAGGGGCCCAGCAGAAAGTGTGGACCTTTGAGCCGCTCAGAGGAGCCAGCAGAAAGTGAGGCAAAGATCTCTGTCTTTACCCCCACCCTGCAGCCCACACTCCAGCCGCCTCCATCCCCAACCCTCAGCGATCTGTCCTGACAACAAACCACTCACTTCACAAACAGGAATGGGCCCCGGCTCTGCACTAGGCACAGGCTGGGAATGAAGACCATGCAGAGGGACAGCTGTGGAGCAATGACCTCAGTGGGCAGTGCAAAAAAATGCTGGGGAGGGAGTCAAGCAGCAAGGGGGGCTCAGCACAGATCACTGGGCCAAACACAAAGGCTTGAGAGGGGAGGTGACTTTCTGGTCTTAAAACTGGGGCAGGGTTTCAGGCGGTCTTGTGAACAGAGAGGGACACGTGAGTATATGCAGATGTGAAAGACCAGAAGGTGCTGAGGGCAGGGCTCCAGGTGGCTTAAGATAGGATGCAGGTGGTGATGATGGCTGTGGACTCACCTGCCTGGGTTTGAATCTCGGTGTTTCTACTTATTACCTGTGTGACTTTGGGCAACTTCCTTGACCTCTCTGTGCTTCATTTCCCCAGCTGAACAATGGGAATAATAATGGTATCTACCTCATAGAGTGGTGAGGATCAAGTGAGTTCATGCATTTAAATGCTTAGAACAGCACCTAGCACAGACCACTCACAAACTGGGAGTTGTGAATGTTGTTATTGTTCTCTGCGAGCTTGTGGGGCAGAGGGGCCCTCGGGCTTCTAGAAATTCTCAACAAAACCAGCAGGAGGTCCTGTCCTCTTGTGCTGTCCCAGGCCACCTCTGCTGCAGGCACACTGGCGCCTTGGGAGGCACCAGGGATCCAGGAGGCGGAAAATTGCCTCCTAGGGAGGTGCAAAGAGGTGGAAAGGGCCTGAGCAGCAAGGGGCCACCGCCTCACTCAGGTGGCTACGGATGTACTGAGGCTGAGAACACGGAGAAAAGATTGCTTCATATACTCTCCCCCCCCCCCCCCAGCTTGGTACCTAGGGATTCTGGATGTGGCTGGAGAAAGACCCTCTGGTCCCTTCGTAGCGAGGCCCAGTCAGAGCCCAGGCTGGCAGCTGCAGAGCCTGTCCCGGGAGGAGTAGTAGTTGGGGGCGGTAAGTGCCGCGGCTGCAGGACAGGTCTGCACCAGCGGGGTTTTTCCCGCCGGCGCCTAGCCGAGGGCGTGCGGTCAGTGTGAAAGGCGGGGCTCAGAACGGCAAAGCTGAGTGCGCCGGCCGGGGGCGTGGGGGCGGGGGATGCCGGGAATCACAGCACAACGAGGCCCCGTGGTCCATGGAGTGGGAAGGCCGGGGCGGAAGCGGACCGCCAAGCAGCCAGGTCACCCCTCATCCCGCCAGTAGCAAAAGATGAAGTGCCCACCCCGCTTGCTGTGTCGGCCATAGGCAGGGACTCAGGCGACAAGTGGGGTGACTCCGGCTGGCCCCTCACCGCACAGGTATGTCTCCCAGAAGCCAGTCCTCTTCCTCTTGTCATGCTCTGGGGCGGGGTGGGGTGGGGGGCGCAGCAAACCTGGGAAACTGCCTTCGTGCAGTAGCCAGATCCCGGCGCCGGCAGCCGGCTCTACACGCTCGGGCCTCTGGCCCCCACGTGCGCGCGCGGGCCAGGTGCAGGAGCGTGTGCGTGTGCACGAGCCGAGCGGTGGCGCCCAAGTGCGGGAGCGCCGGGAGGGGGCCCAGCGGGTGCGTGGCGACGGCGGGCAGACGCGGCAGCGCCAGCGCGCCATCGTCGCTCTTCCGGAGGGGTGTGTGCGCTGTGGCTGTCGCCTGGTTTAGCAGCCACCCCCTCGGCTGGCTCCGCGGCCACCCGGTAATTACTTCCAAAAAATACATACATATAATAAGACAGCTAACCTTTCACTGTCCAGAGCTCCGCGGCACAGGTGACCCAAACATTTTCTTCCCGGTCCTCAAATCCGTGCGTTCCCTCTTAGGACTAGAGCAGCTTGATTCCGGAGACTCCAACGAGCGCCTCTGCCGCAGAGGGAGGACAGAGCTGCCCCGTGATTGGTTGCAGGAGCGTCGGGTGGGCTCGCTGGTTGGCAGACCCTCTGGCCAGCCATTCTGCGGACCCAGGTAATCCTCAAGCCGGAGAATGGTGATACTGCGTCGAAAGGGCGCGGGAAGGCTCTTTGTTTTGTTCTCTTTTTTTAGCGGTGGGCAGAGGAGAGACTTGAAGCCAGTGGCTTTGGGCCGGTCACTTGCTGGGGCTGGGCCCCCAAGAAATGGAGATAAATACTAGCTATGGCCACCTTACACAGGGGGGTGTGAGGACAAAACGGATGTGAGGAAAAAGCATGTGAGAATAGTCGGAACTATACAAATCTGGGATAATATGATCATGCTTTGCTTAACACTGTTCCCCTTCAGCTTCCAAAACGAGGCGGGGGGGGGGGGGGGGAAGAACAGAGTTGAACAGAGGAAGCGGGGCTGGAGCAGTGCACTTACATTACACTCTACGGGTGCATTAGACGCTACTGCCCTTGAGAGTTCCGTTCCAGAACCATGTGGCTTGGGTCCAAATCTTGGCTCTTCTACTTATTAGTGCTTTCAACTTGAGATGATCCCCTACCCTCTTTTTAAGCTTCAGTGTCACCTGTGATGGGCATGATAGTAGAGCCCACTTCCTAGAGTGGTTAGGAGACTATGCCCATAAAGGTCCTGCGCTGAAAGCCTAGCAGTGCCCCCTAAAGGTTAGCTGTGCGTGTTCTTGATAATCCCAGTATGTTGCGCCCTTCAGGGTACCATGCACTCTGTAGGAAGAGAAACAGCGGAAAACAGGTTTCATCCTTCCTGGCTGGCTGGTCTCAAACAAGATACCTCACCTCTCTGGGTATCTCATGGGAAAAATGGAGATTATTATACACACCTTGCGAAGTTATTATAAAAATTAAAATCATATAACCTAATGAATGAATACAACATATAAGCCCTTCAGTGATTCTAGAGGAAAATAATCTTTATGTTCCAGTTATCTAGCTCTCCGTAATATCTCTATTATGTTATCTATTGCTGCATAACACAGCACTTCAGAAGATAGTGGCTTAAAATAACAGTGCTCGTGTATTTTGCTCGTGAATCTGTGACTTGGGCACGGTTGGGGGGGGATGACTTAAGTTTGCTCCTTGCAACATCTGCTGAGTTGGCCTGCTGGGGCAGGAGGATCTTCTTCCAAGATCACACGTGGGATACGTCAGTCGATCCTGGCGTCAGCTGGGGCTGTTAGCCAGGGCCTCAGCTCCTCTCAATGTGGGGCAGTCTGGGAGGCCTCCTGGGCTTCCTCCCAGTGGGACCCCCAGGTTTTAAGAGCAACATCCCAAGAGACGGGGGTGGGAGCTGCCAGTCTCTTTAGAGCTGGACTCAGAAGCTGGCACAGTGTGGCTTCCACTTTATTCTTCTGCTCAAGTCACCCCAGAGCCCACCTAGATTCAAGGGGAGGGGACTTCACACCCACCTCTCAATGAGAAGAGCATCAAATGATTTCCACCCATCTTGAATCTACTGAAACTTGAAAGTCTTCCCTTTTTGCTTTGCCCCCCCCCCGGTGCCATGGCAACAAGTTACGTCATCTTTGCTAGAAAACCAGCCAGATACAAAGATGCCTGCCTGGTCAGGATCAGTTTCTCTGGTGCAGACACCCGGCATGGCAGCTTCTCTAGTGTCTGTCTCCCTGGAACCACGAGGCTTCAGTCCCCAGCTCTGTCAACCCCAGGCCTATGAAAGGAGAGAAGTAAGCCAGGAGAGGGTAATTTGGATTCGGAAAGCTGGATTTTAGCAGGTTGCCCCGGCTGAGTGCAGCGAGCATCTCTGCAGCTCTTAGTTCCCTGGAGAAGTCTGTTTGTTTCTCAAGACCACTGCCTGGGTGTTTGGAGTGGCTGTTGTCATACATTAGCGGGTCATTAATTGATAGGTTGGAACACTTGGGGTGGGAAGGCAGGCTGGTGGGGGCAGCAGGCCTACGGTCACCATGGCAACTTTCAGGCCTATGATTTGTGCTTCCGGCATCAGAGCAGGAAGGGTGCCCCAAGCTGCTCGAACCTCCTCAGACAGACCACAGACTCTCCAGAGAGGAACCAGCGTCTCTCTTTTAGCAGTAGGTTTCCACTGCAGTGCCCTTTCACACAGAGCTACCCACTCACACGCTCAGAGTCTAAACCAGCCAGCCCTCTTCCTGTGGCCTCCTCCCATATTCTGACTGTCTCCCCGAGTTCGTTAGCTCCTAACTTCAGTGTCAACCACACTGGCCTTCCGGGTGGGCTGCAGAGGTAAATGGAGTTTAGGCTCATGGATTCCTTTCGACATTCGACACATTTTTGCTGTGCATTTATTTTGGCAGAGAACCATTCTCCCTGGCAGAGAACAAAACAGGTCCATGTGCTTCTTCTGGGTGGAGCTTCCTGTGTACAGGGAAAGACGGGCATTGACAAATAATTGTACAGATTCCCATGCATTGCATTGGCAATGGTTGAAATACAATCAATCTGGCCCTGGCCCGTGTGGCTCCGTCGGTCAGAGTGTCGTCCCATAGTTGGAAGGTTGCAGGTTTGATTCCCAGTCAGGGCACATGCCTGGATTGAGGATCCAATCCCCAGTCCGAGTGTGTTAAGATCCTCAGTCTGGTTGCGTATGGGAGGTAGCTGCTCAATGCTTCTCTCTCCTGTCGATGTTTGAAGCAATTAAAAAGGTCCTCAGGTGAGGGTTATATGTGTGTATAGTCTGTCTAGAAGTTATCCAGTCACATAAATGAAAAAATAGAGACTTTATTGAAGAAGATACAAGAAACATTGTACACAGGACAGTGATGCCTCAGTCCCCTTCAAAGCAGGCACCTTGGGACCTCACACAGTTCTCCTGGTCACCATCAGCTGTCCCATAGTATTTTCCTGAATCTCATCAATGGTCTGAAATCTCTTCCCTTTCAAACATGACCTGAGCTTTGGAAAAATCCAGGAGTTGCAGGGCACCAAATCTGGGCTTTGTGAATGCGGCTGAGTCACCTGGGTGATTTGATGTTTCACAAAAAAACTCTGCACAAGACATGCAGAGTGGGCATGTTATCATGATGAAGCTGCCAATTAGCAAAAAGCCCCATAACTGGGGCCTTTTGAACAATACAAGTAGTTTCCATGGAGGAATGTTCAAGCTTAATGCAGAAAATTTGATGCAGATGTGTTGCTCTATGTACTCAGCCATTTTGAATGCGACAGCCACACAGTGCACATGCTCACTCAGCAGCATCTGCCACCCCCACTGACTAGTGCAGTGAAATCGTCATTGTCCTGTATGCGCACTCCAGTCCACTCTCCTGGGCTGCCAGGTTACATCGATGTTGTGCAGACCGTTCTTGTCATGTTAACAATGGCTGGACTTGTTCTGGACAAGCTATATATACATATTTACACACACACACACACACACACACACACACACATATATATATATAATTACTTTGGACCTTGACTTGAATCCGAGTTCTGCCACTTACCGGGCAGGCCCAGTGTGACCACAAGGGTCCTTAAAGGGGGAAGCTGGGAGCAGGACATGTAGAGTCATAGGTGCAGTGGCCATGGGAGCAAAGGGCAGAGCACAGGGATGTGAGAGGGATCGGTTGCTGCTGGCTTTGAGGACGAAGGAACACAGGCCAAGGAACGCTAGAAGTCTTTAGAAGCTAAGAAAGGCACGGAAGTCCACTTCCCCGTCAACTGTCCGGAAGGAACGTGGACCCGCTGACACAGATTTTAGCCCAGTGGGACCCGCGTTGGACTTTTGACCACTGGATGGTGAGAGGAGAAATCTGCGTTGTCTGAAGCTGCTGGCTTCGTGGTGGTTTGTTCCAGCAGCAACAGGAAGCTGATGAGACAGACACCCCGGAGCCCTGTCTCTGAAGTCAAACGGCTCTGCTGTTCTCAGCCCTGAGCCCCTGGGCAGGTTGCTGGTGCTGTCTGAGTCGCAGTCACCTCGCCTGTAACACAGGGACAGCCCTGCCTCACAGGGTCGATGCGCAGGTGAGAACAGGAAACGTTTGGAAAGCGGGCAGCACAGCATCCAGTACCAAGCACATGCTCCCAAAGTGGCAAGGACTGTTCTCCTTGGTCCTAAATTGCTCCTGCCTGTTTAACTGCAACAGGGCCGCGGTGCCAGGTGCTGTGGAAGGCTCTCTGCTGGCCCTTCCAGCCATCCTTAATTCACACCTGGCCACTTCTGAACCTGCAACAGCGCGGCACCTTATATCAGGTCCTCTGATGTAAGTGCACATGCTGAAGTGTGAGGCCCAGGGAAGGTCAAGGTCAGCCTTCAAGACACAAGTCAGCCGAGGTCCCTGCAGACAAATAGCAGATGGCTCATCATAGACACTACTTGGGCTTGTCAGAGCCCTCAAGATGCCCTAAGGCCTCACCCCCACCAGCTCCAAATCAGCGGAGTAGCCATGGGGGCGAAGGTTATGCGCCGGAACAAGCATCTTGCCGAGTTGGCCGGCCCACCCTTCACCTTTTCTAGGGCGAGTCAGGCTGTGGGGTGGAGCATGTGGCCTGGGGAGAGGTGCTGCTACCACCATCCTCATCATCATTGCACCCTCACTAACACTCACTGAGGACCTACTAAGTGCCAGGCACTTGCTGGAGCTCATCTTTCTGACTGTTGCAGATGTCCTTTGGCTATCCAGGAGTGCGATTTCTCAAGGCCACATAGCCCGGCACTGGCAGCCCAGGGACTTGACCTCCACAGGCAGGCTCAGAGCCTCCGCTTTTAACCCCCAGCCCGTGAGCTCAGGGTTGTCACCATGTTCTGGTGACAACCAGCTCAGGGCTGACTCCAGAGTCCTCCCTGTGAGGACACCCAGGCCTTGTGGTCTGGGACTCTGTTGCCCTCAAAGTAGCCTGCAGAACATCATTCCAGAAAATCCCGCCGGCGTTTCAGAGCTCAGGTCCCTGGAACAGATGTTTATTTGCGGGGGGGCGCAGACAGGGTCACCCAGGGCTCAGGCAAGCCTTCTGGTCTGTCATCCCAGGGGACATCTGCCATGCTTCATGACTGCTGTCCTGGGGCTGAGAGAGAGGCAGGGAAATGAACTTGGGGGGTAGGCCCAGCCCAGTGTACACCCTCTGTCTTCGCAGGAGGGAAGGGGACACAGAGGCCTGGGAGGCTGCCGCACCCTCTGGACTGGAGCATCTTCACCGGTCACTGAGGGTCCTTATCTGCTCAGTGGCACCTCCAAGGTTCTGGCACTTTGGGCCTAAGGAGAGAAGTTGACACGGGGGGAGGTGGGCTGGGGGGCTTATACGGAGGCTACGTTTTTATTACAAACTCACTACTTTTACTCAGGTGCAGGTCGACTCGGGTTTGGGGAGCCGAGGTTCTGAGTCTCTAGGTTGCCGCAGGCCACTGCCTGGTGCTGGCGTCACGGCAGTTTCTCGTCCTCCCTCCCTGTTTCAGGTTAGAGACGAAGCCCAGCTCCAAAGCCAAGCACAGCGTGGGCTGCTCTTACTCAGTGGGCCTTTCACGGTGCACATGTGCCCGGCTGCTTGGAGTGAAACTGAAGGTGGCTTCCTCCCATCTTCAGCCCCCGGGGCCCAGTGGGGCGCAAAAGGGGGTCCCTCGCCCTGGAGAGAGGAAGGCTCCCCATTGCAGACGAGGTGGTGCATACAGTTGGCAGAGGGGGCTGGACAGCCTGGGGCAGCTTGGGGGGGAGGAGAGGACACGGCGTCCTCAGCGGTTCTTCCAGGTACGGGCAGCGAGGGCGGAGGCTGCCTGTGTGTGCGTCAGCTGCCCTGTGGAGAGAACCAGGGCGCTTTCCTTGGCCGCTGGTCCTGGGGGGAGCCAGGCATTCACCACGAAGTCAGCCCTTCACTCCTCATCCACCCACCCTTTTCTGTGACGACGGGGAGAGCCAGCCACTTCCACACTCAGAAACCGCACGTGTCTCTGTGAACACCACCCCGCTGCAACAAGACACAGCCTTTTGCAGTAACTCACATAGGAGACCACTGAAAAGGGCCCAGGCCCGCAGAGGGGGCTGTTTCCCGGGACCACTACCAATATAGCCCCCCAACAGGACTAGAGCGACTTGCTCTCTAGAGAAGACAAGTCTTGCAGACCATGAAACAGAGCGGGGAGCACACACATCCTCAGTGACCCCCGCCCCCACGCGTGGTGGATGTTGGCTCCCTGGTTCTAGCAGCGTACCCAGTGAGCAGCTTCCAGGGAGGGCAGGGCTCCTGCCAAAACGGCGTGGCTCCTGCAGCGTGGCAGCTGGTTTTTAGAATCTCAGCTCCATTGCTCAGCTGTGAGACCCTGACTGAGAGCCTTCGCCTAGCTGGGCCTCAGTTCCTCCCTACCTGGATGGCGAGGAGGCTGGGCTAGGGGACCTCCAGGGGCCCCCTCTGCCCTGCTACACTGACAGTTTAGTATATGCTCCCAAGAGCCAGGAGACCCCATGACACCAGAGCCCCGTTCTTGCTTCCCCACTCGGGGCCATGCTGTGGAAAATTGCTGATGCTGCCTTACCTAGGGCCCGATGCCCTGGCTTCGCTGGTCTGCAGAACAGGATTCAGCCCCCTGGGGCACGCACATGAGCACTTCTGCACTTGGCTGCCCGCAAGCAGTGTCCAGGGCGCTATGAAAGACCTGGGTGCCACCAGCACATCTCCAGGAAGTGTGGTTTCATCCATCTAGGGCGAGGCCTGGCATTGGCATTATTTTTATAAGCTCTCCAGGTTTTTTCTAAGGCACCTGGGACCCACTGACTGGGTGGGTTGCTGGTGGCAACAGGGTGAGAGCCTGGGGCGGGAGTGGACACAGTCAGCTTGTCCCTGTCCCTGCCTGTCCTCCTGCTGTTCTCGTTGGGGTCTGCCATGTACTCAAGTTTCCTGAGCATCGGCCTGTCTGCGCAGCTCCAGTGAGGGCCCCTGGCACTGGGGTTCAGCTGCCTGTGTCTCTTCTCCCAGGGTCCTGTAGGTACTCAGAGGGGTTTGATTGGCAGGGTTAGGGCATCCCACTTCTCCTACATGCCCCCCAGTTCCCGAGGTCCCCTGTTCCTACTTCAGGCTTTAACATTCCCCGGGAGGTTGCTCATTGCGCCTCAGGCGTGTGGGAAGTAGACGGGGAGGGTGGAGGGAGTGGTCCCGCCACCCTCGTCCGCAGCTGCCTGGCGGGCGAGTGTTCCTGGGCGGCCGCCAGCCTGACACCGGATCAGACTGACAAGTTCACATGATTCTGCCTCAGCCCGGGAACCGGCAGCCTCCAGCTGGGGTTTTCTAGACGGAGCTGGGAGGTGCAGCTGCGGGAGATCACCGGAGGGGGAGCGTGGGTCCTGACTGGGGGTTTGCCAGCAGGGCAAGGTGCTTCTCAACTGCTCCCTCGGGCCTCCCAGGAGCCTCTGGAGGAAGCTGAGCTGTTTGAGGTTTGGGGGCAGAGCTCAGCAGAGCCACAGAGGCCCCGGGATTCCCCCCAAGGCAGCTCCCTTTGGCTGCGGCTATCTGCCTGCTCCTCACCGGCTGACAGACCGTCGCCGTCCTGGGTTCCGGAGGCTGAGCAGGTGGGGGTCAGCCAGGCTGTTTCCGAACATGGCCATGGCCCATTAGAGGGCCAGGAAATCAGCCCAGGAGCTCAGGACCTGCCTGCAGGGAAACAAAATGGGATAGCCGAGATCGGAGTGCGTTGCAGACGGTGGGGTGAGTGTCGCTTCCGGGAGGTTTGTTTCTGGGTGCTCGCATGAGTGTGTGGAACGTGTGTGCTGGGTCCCAGCATCAAGTGCTCAGTCAAGTGCGTCAAGTGTGGTTTGTGGCCAAAAGAGCTTAAAGGCAGTGAGTTGGTGCCTCCGGGCCTGGATTCTGGGTTCAGACCCCCCTGGCTCACTGTGTGAACCTGACCAACTGCGTTAGCCTCTCTGGGTTTCAGGCTCTGTGTCGGGTGGGCAGCGCCAGCCCCACCTGAGTCACAGTGACTTTGTGAGCCCAGATGGAACTGAACTTGGAAACAGTTACCAGGCCTTTAGAAATGAAATTCTGTCTTCTCGTTGCTGGTGGAGCGAGGCTACCTGGGGGAGCGACAGGGACTAAGGAAGAATGCTTCCCAGTTTCTGCTCCCGCCCCAGGGGGAAGTATCGACAGCCTCAGAAACACACCCTTTTAGGAGACGGAACAACCTCACTTAGGGAGCGTGGCGCCCGACCAGATAAAGGAAGAGGAGCTGGGTTGGCAGGAAACTCCCTGCTCTGCGGCTCCCGCCAGCAGCACCGCTCGGCCCATGAGTAATTGTCTGTGCGCCCGTGTGCGCCCCGTGGAAGAGACGGTGACAGATTAGGTCACTGTCTGTGTCCCGGCCGCCTGCCAGCACAGGCACCTCCTCCTGCCTTGAAACACGTGAAGGTTCTTCCCTTGCATCAAAGAGGCCCCTCCTCTCCTTCAGGGCTTAAGGAGCCCTTTAATGACCAGGGGTTCCCTTGGTCATCGAAGTCCTCGGAGACACCTCTGTGCCAATGAGTGTTTGTCTGAAGGCTTGCCTTTGGGTGTCGGGCTGCCTGTGTGTAGTCTGTCTCTCTCTGAGCCGAGTGGTAAAGTGTCTGAAGTGGCTCCTTGTTTGGTTCTTTGCACTGGGGGAACCACAACGGGCGAACTGGGTTTCCTCAGTAGGTGCTGAGGAAATGGCTGGCCATGCAGAGCACCCTCCAGGGGCGGGGGGCTGGCCTGGGACTAAGCCTCGTGGCTCTTGTGGTGGCATCTCTAGGACTGGAGCCTGGCGAAGCCTGGAGGTGGCGGGTGGCTGCTCAGGATGATCATGACAGACAGAGAGTGTGGCGTGAGGGCAAGTGCGGGCCGGTCTGAGTCCGGGACCTGGCCAAGCACACGGTACCGGTGGGGTCTGGAGCAGGTCGGTCCGTCTCTCTCTCAGCCTCAGCTCCTCGTCTGTAAAGGGGCCCAATGAGAGTGGGGCTGGGAGAGCCCTGCATGGCCCGTGGGTGGGGCTCGGCTCTCCCGCCCCGCCTCCATCTGCACCTTACAGAACACTTTTGCCTCATCCACTGTGTCTTTGATTTCTGAAGAGCAAGATGCCTGTGGAGACCGGGCAGACGAGGGCCACCCCTGGCGAGGTGTAGTTTCCCCCTGGGGGTGCCTGTCCTCGGGGACCGGTGGCAGGAAGGGCTGGCCCTGACAAGGCCTCAGCGGGTGAGCAGGACCCCCTGAGCAGCTCAGGCAGCTGGAGCAGGGGGCTACAGACATTCCTCCTGGTCCCTTTTCTGTTTCTGTTCATGAAACCTTCACTGTCCCAGGCCCAACTTCATCCCTCCCCCACCCATCCGTCCATCTGCCCACCCATTAACCCATCCCTCCATCCAGGTACCCATCACCCATCCAGCTGTGCACATACCCACCCATTTAGCCATTCACACATCTGCCCACCCATTCATCCACCCATTCACTCATCCATCTACCCCTCATCCGTTTGCCAATCCAGTCACCCACCTACGCATCCACCCCAGTCATCCACCCACCCACCTGTTCACTCCCATCTGTCCATCTGCCCTCATCCGTTTGTCTGCCCGTCCATCCACCCATCTCTTCACCCACCCACCCATCCATCTAACACACCACTTTTGAGAGCTTATCAGGACTGAGCACTGAGGCCCATCTCAGATTTGTCCCTGACTGTTCCCTGCCACCCTCCTAGTTAGTGCTTAGTTACCACGGCTTCTTCTGGTCTCCTCGGGGGCCACGCCCTCCTCACACCTAGCTCCAGTCACGCCAAACTACTTTCAGTTCCCAGACGGAGCCCGCTCTCCCTCTCCTGGATTTGATTTGTTGCCCAAGTTGCTTCCACGGGCAGAAGCAGCCCACTGCTCGGGCATCTCTTCCCCCTTCTCCTGGCCTGGGTACCGCATGCTGCCCAGGAAGGCTTTTCTGGCTGGGCTGCGTCACTTCCACTGAACTCCCTTAAGTCCTGTGCCCTCCCTGGGCACTGGTTGGCTTTTCTTCTCTCCTCTCCCACGAGACTGAAAGCAACTTGAGCTGCACTAGGAGACGGTCAGTGCAATGCCCTTCCGTGTTAGAGAGAATCCATAAGGTTTTGCTGTGTGGATGAACAAGTGAATGGGGGAGCAGGTGGATGGATGGACAAATGGACAGACAGACAGACCAACGGACAGACTGGTGGATGGTTGGAAAGCCATTAGAGAGTTTGAAGCAGGAGCGATCTGGTTAGATCTCCTTTTCAGAGGGTGGCTTTGTGGTGGTGAGACACAGACAGGAAACCAGATAGGAGACCGAGGCACGGATTCCAGGGAGGAAGTCTTGACCGGGCCAGTGTGAGGCACAGGTAAGGGAGCTGAAGAGGAGGAGGTGGACGTGGGAGATGTTTAGGAGCAGGAAACGGCAGAGCTGGATAATGAAGTGGATGCTGTGGATGAGGAGGAGGGAAGGAGCTGAAGGCCAGCCATGCAACTTGAGTGACCGGGCAGGCAGCAGACCAGTGGAGAAAAGGACAGTGGCAGGATGGGCCTCACTGAACGTGTCCTGCTTGGTGACAGGAAGCTGCTTGTGTCCACCTTCTGCCTGGGGAGGGCGGTGAGGTCTGGGAGCACTGAGAGTGTCAACTAGGCAGAGCCCCCAGAGGAGCTGTCGCCCCACAGAGAGCATGCGTGGAGGGGAAGCACAAGCCAACGGTGCGTGTGAGCAGGGGGGTGGGGGTGACCAACGAGCTCCACTGTCCACTGCCTCCAGCAGCAGTCACTTGTGTGTGTGGCATTCCTGTGTCACGAGATTGGAGGCTCCCTGAGGGTGGGAGCCGCTTCTTCCGTACCCAGGCCCCCGTGTCTGGTCCGCTGCTGTGGGCCCTGTAGCTGCTCCTCGGTGCGCGCTGATCCGCACCCAGAGGTGCTGGACTGTCGGGCGAGCCAATCCCTCCCTTCGGGCCTCAGTGTCCTCATCCCCGAAATGGGGGCAATAACGGGGTTGCTGTGAAGACCGGGCAGGAGCGCAGATGTGAAACGCCCTAGGGGCTGTAAGAGGTCTCACAGAAACGGGGCAGAAGTCCGGTCACCGGGTTCTGGAATACAGCGCCCGTCCCTCTGTTTGGAAGACCTCAGTTGGGCTGTCGGTCTCCCACAGGCTGCGTCCTGGTTCTGACCACAAGATTCTGTTGGGTCTTAAGTTCCCCTTGTAGCCACCTGTGCTCCCCAGCCTGGCACTCTGGTAGGACACTTGACCAGGAGCAAACCCCAGACCTTCTAGACCTTTCCAGTCCCTTGCTACTCTGGGTGTGGCTCACGGGCCAGCAGCACCAGCATCAGCTGGGAGCTTGTGGCAGGTTCTCCAGCCCCATCTCAGTCTCAGACCCACTGAGTCAGAAACTCCGGAGGTGGGGCCCCGTAATCTGTTGTAACAAATCCTCCGGGTGACTCAGCTGCACCCAAGGTCAAGAAGCACTGTCCAGAATATCAAAACCCTCTTTTCAGTGGAAAGCGAATGCGGGAGGCACTTTAAACACAGTAAATGCTGCTGCTTTGCCCTGCGGGCCTGGCTATTGGTGACTTTGGTCGCCAGACTTCACTTATTGTTGGTCCTGGAAAGCGGAAGCCACGGGCCTGTGCCCCAGGCCACACCGCCCGGGGACATGCTCACACCAGTAAACAGCAGCTGCAGGGCCAGGGACTCCCAAGGGATTCTTAGGAGCTGACGGGACGTGTCCTCCCAGTGACTCCGTTTGCCCCGGTTCACTGACGTGCTCAGTGAACGTCTTCTTCCTGTTCGCTCTTCTTCCTCATCGATAAGCCAGGTGACCCTTTGGCCCCGCAGGGGTGGGGGTGGGATTCACGGACAGGAGAGCTGGCCGGAGGAGGGCAGGTAGGGCCCGCTCCTGCCTGACGGGGCTGTGGGAGGAGCCGAGGGGTCACAGGTCTCGGCTGCCCCTTGTCTTCTTCCTCTCACCGTCAAGACATGGCAGCAACACAAAAACACACACAAAAAGAAAAGCCCGTGCATAGTGGGTGGGAACGTAGAATGGTGCAGCCCCGATGGAAAACAGGACAGTTCCTCAAAAGATTAAAAATAGAACTACCGTATGACCCAGCAATTCCATTTCTGGGCATACCCCCGGCCCTCGGACAGATGAGTTGTGTGCTCAGACTCACGGCGGCGCTCTGCACGGCAGCCGGAGGCAGATACCACCCAGGTATCCACTGACGAGTGAGCGGAAGAACAAAACACAGAATATACGTAGGGAAATAGCATTCAGCCTTAAATAGGGAGGACCTTCTGACGCATGTTACAGTGTGGACGAGCCTCGAGGACATGCGCCGTATTAAATAAGCCTGTCACAAAAAAAGACAAATACCGTGTGACCCCACTTGTCTGAGGGACCTAGAGGGGTCATGTGCCTAGAGGCAGGAGGCCGGGCAGGGGGTGCGGGGGGCTGGGGGCAGGCGGAGTGGGAGTCCGTGTGGAGTGGGGCAGAGTCTCTCGGTGGGGAAGGTGAAGAGCTCTGGGGATGGGTGGCGGGTGGTCGCGGTCGTCCTTCATTGTGAATGTCCTGAAGGCCAGAGCACTGTACACTTAAACACGGTCAGCCAGGTCAATTTCATGTCGTGTACATTTCACCACAATTAAAAACGATGACAGCAAGAGGCAGCCCCTCCACCACCATCGCTGAAACCCCAGGCCTGTGTCCTTGGCAGGACGGGGGTGGGCCTGACTGGGGGTCCTTGTTTTCTGGGGACCGAGGGGTAGGGGTGAGTCTCAGGTGGGGACTGGAGGTGACAGGGAGGCAGGACGTGGAGCAAGGAGACCTGGATTCTAACACCAGTGCCTCCTTCCTCAGGCTGCTTTCGGCAAGTCACCCATCCCCGCCCCTGGGGACCTCAGTTTCCTCACCTGTAAGATGGGGAGGCAGCATTCACTCGTTCGTCCAGAGGGATTCATGAGTGTGTGTGGCGTGCCAGGCACTGTGCAAGGGGCACGAGGCCTCTGCCGTGGGGGAATTTACGTTCTCCTGGAGGAGACGGGTCCACAGCAGACAGGGAATACAGAGGACAAACCTCAGATGCCGATGGGCCCTCCGTGGAGCGGTCCGGGCAGATGGTGGGACGGTGGCCGGGGCAGGCCTGGCAAGGGGAGGAGGTGTCATTTAAGCTGAGATCTGGCAGCAAAGCAGGCAGCCCTGTGGGGAGGCGGAGGTGGGGCGAGGTGGGGCAGCAGCAAGTGTGCAGGCCAGCAGCCGGGCCGGGTGACCGGGTGGCACAGGAAGCTGGCCACGTGGCTGGCGTGTGGTAGGGGGGACAAGTTCGATCCTGTTGGGCCGTGCGTGCCCCGTGAGGAATGTGGGCTCTGCCACAGGTGTGGTAAGAAGCCGTCTCAGTGGGTTGTGAGCGAGGAAGGGGAGGGTCCACTCTGCGTCTTGGGCATTGCGTGGGTGACGGTCAGGGCAGCCTGGGAGCCGGGGCCAGGCGGGCTTGGGTGTGCAGAGGGCCACAGGAAGTCCAGGTGAGAAGGGGCAGCTCTGGATCAGACCTGTCTCCTGTCCATTTTCGAGACATGATGAAAGCTACAGACCCTTCCCCCAGGGAAAAGAACGCACGTGCTTACATAAGATTGAGCGTTTGACTTCAGGGGAACCCCTCAAGTTCATCCTCCATGAACCCCAGGCAGGGAACGCTGGACTGACGTCCCTGAGCCTCTTCCCGGCACACTGCGCCCACTTCCCACTGCGCCCTGGCTCAGGGGGCCACAGGGCAGGGCAGGGGCCGGCTGAGCCTGCAGGAGGGTGGCTGTGGGGGGAGGGGCCCCGGTCAGCGGGTGGAGAGATGGGGGCCTTGCACTCTCAGGGGCTTCCCTTCTGGTGGGAGAGAATGAGCCTCCCTGTGGTGGGGGGAGGGCGCAGGGCTGGCCGATCTGCTGCCACCCCCAGGCTGTCAGACCCCACCCATTCCGAATCCGCAGCTGTGTTGTGCACCACGAGTTCTCGGGGCGGGGGTGGAGGTAGGTTCTTGGACGGGGTGAAGAACCTTCGACATTACAATGATTTGCTGTCCCCCCGAAGGGCGTGGTACGTGAACCATGAACGCGGTGTACCTGAGGTGTTAAAATTTCATGGGGGGGGGGTGGGAGGGGGAAATGTCTGAAAAGGCTCCTTGAGAGGATAATTGTGAGGGGAGGGGAGTTGAAAGAAATCGTGATTTAGACGCAGCCAGATTTTCCCCTGAACAGAAAGTGTTAGATCAGCAGAGAAGCTCAAGCCTTAGACTCTGACGTGTTAGTTTATACAGGAGGCTCACAAGCGAAAACCGAAGTCCGTCTTGGTCAAAGGTGTTTGTGTGCACAGCCACCTCTTTGCTCAGTCCTCAGCAGCGTGGCCTCTCACTGACGTGAGCGGGAGACGACCGCCTCTCACTCCGTTTGCCACCAAAAAAGCAGTGCCACACATTTTGACATCGTCCTCTTCTGTGGCCCTGATACTGACCCTGAGGGCAGGCGGTTTTGTCCCCAGTGTACAGAGCAGGAAACTGAGGCTCAGAAAGGGTAACTGGCTGGCACGGCCCGTAGTGGCCGACTGTGGCCTGGTGCTCATGGCCGTCGCTGCCTGGCCCTGCATTGCCCCCCTCTGCTGGGTCCCCGAGCTCCGTGGAAGAGAGGAGGGTTAGTACCTGCTGAGAGACACCCAGGAATCCGGGCAGCGCCCGAGGGAAGCTTGGCCGTTGTTTCTGGCCAGAGCACTGAGGGATGTGGGCAAGGCCGGGCCTCTTCTGCGCCTGGTGGAGAGGCCACTCCACCAGGAGGGGCTGTGGCCTCGGTGTGACCTGGTATGTTCCCGTGAGCAAGGGGCGACAGTGCGCATGGCGCTTGCTGCTGTGGAAGACAGTGCCTGGGCCCTCCCTGTTGCATCTTTAGCTTTCCCTGGAGAGCTGGGCCCAGCAGGGGCTGTGCTCACAGGGCCAGGAATATACACAAGGGCAGGAAGCCAGGGAAGGCAGATGGGGAGACCTAACCCACATGCCGAGGTTCTAGTCGAGTTGGAGCTGGCCGGCTGGGACATCCTCTGAATTAAGCGAGGCCCTCAGAACAGCGCCTGGTACACAGTGGATGCTCTATACATGTTATCTCCTGTTATTCTAAGCCTTTCCCACCTTTGGCTTTCAGAGGCTCACTCACCACCAAGGGGGCCCAGCCTCTGACCCAGCTTGAACCACATCCTGTGAACAGCATGGCGGCAGAGAGACGGGCCCATCCCCTGTGCCCATGAATGGGGAGCCTCTTCCGGCCCAAAGATGGGGAACATCACAGCAAACGGCTCCTCGATGAACTGCACCATTGACCACACCATCCACCAGACGCTGGCCCCCGTGGTCTACGTCACGGTGCTGGTGGTGGGCTTCCCGGCCAACTGCCTGTCTCTCTACTTCGGCTACCTGCAGATCAAGGCCCGGAACGAGCTGGGCGTGTACCTCTGCAACCTGACGGTGGCCGACCTCCTGTACATCTGCTCGCTGCCCTTCTGGCTGCAGTACGTGCTGCAGCACGACAACTGGCTGTACGGCGACCTGTCCTGCCAGGTGTGCGGCATCCTCCTCTACGAGAACATCTACATCAGCGTGGGCTTCCTCTGCTGCATCTCCATCGACCGCTACCTGGCCGTGGCCCACCCCTTCCGCTTCCACCAGTTCCGCACCCTGAAGGCGGCCGTCGGCGTCAGCGTGGTCATCTGGGCCAAGGAGCTGCTGGCCAGCGTCTACTTCCTCCTGCACAAGGAGGTGGTGGAGGACGGGAACCAGCACCGCGTCTGCTTCGAGCACTACCCGCTGGAGCCATGGCAACGCGGCATCAACTACTACCGCTTCCTGGTGGGCTTCCTCTTCCCCCTCTGCCTGCTGCTGGCCGCCTACCGGGGCATCCTGCGGGCCGTGCACCGCAGCCACGGCACGCAGAAGAGCCGCAAGGACCAGATCCAGCGGCTGGTGCTCAGCACCATGGTCATCTTCCTGGCCTGCTTCCTGCCCTACCACGTGCTGCTGCTCGTGCGCAGCCTCTGGGAGTCCAGCTGCCAGTTTGCCAAGGGCATCTTCAACGTCTACCACTTCTCCCTGCTCCTCACCAGCGTCAACTGCGTGGCCGACCCGGTGCTGTACTGCTTTGTCAGCGAGACCACCCACCGGGACCTGGCCCGCCTCTGTGCCGCCTGCCGCGCCTTCCTCACCTGCTCCAGGACCGGCGGGCCCAGGGAGGCCTTCCCACTGGGAGCCCCCGAGGCCTCCACGGGGAAAAACGAGGAGCCCGAGTTGTTACGGAAGCTCCACTCGACGACCTTTCAGACCTCTAACTCACCTGGAGGGGCAGGGTCGCCCACAGCCAGGCTGGCCTAGCCAGAATCCCCCATGTGTGGGGTGAGTGAGGCCTGAGCTGACTGGCTGGCCACCCCTGCTTTCTGCTGGAGGGAACGATGGGCTGGGGTCACCAAACCCTGGGCCTGGGCTGCTGCAAGGCCTCTCTGGTGTCAGGGGGCCTGCTGGAGCCTGCAGGGTGCCCCCGTCTGCTCAGGGGTGTCTTCTGTTGCAGCTGGGTCGCTGGCGGGAGGAAGGCAATGAACTGTCAGCTCCAGAAGGTTTGCAAAGGGAAGCTGGGATGGGGGTGCAGAGTTCAAGGGGTGCTGGGAGATGGGGGTGTGCACCTGCCAGGGCCTTCCAGTGCCACTGTGTCACAGATGACACCTGCCCAAATGCATAGGTGGTGCAGCTGAGGAGGTGACAAAGCTGTGTGGTCATTGTCAACCATGGAGCCTTTCTCTGCCCCCCCCCCATGGAGGGAGCAAAAGGGAGAGGCTCGGGGCCAGGAGGCTGGATGGGAGGAGCTTAGTGCCACCCCAGGGACCCGCCCACCTTCACAGACATGCCAGCCCCGGGCCAGCCCCGTGCCAGCCCTCCAGATGTTCGGGTGGATGTGCTGGAGCCAGCTCCCACCTCCCTGGAGTCTGAGTCCCTCACAGAGTCTGGGGCGGGGCCAGGGATGAGGAGATAGAAGTTGGCATCGGCAGAATGATTGTGGAATCTGCTAAGGGGAGGGCCAGGAGAACATCTTCAATCTTTCTTCCCCTCCCTGTACCCCACCCATCAGAGAGCCCAGAGAACCCCGCCTAAAGGCAGAGAGTCCAGGCCGGGTTGCCACGAACTGGGGTACCAGGCTTACACGTGGCTTTGACCGGGCAGCACCTGCCCCAGCTCCTTACAGCGGGTCTCCCGTGACCTGAGGAGGTTCCCTCCCTCTTCCTGGAGGAGGAAGCAGCCAGGTCCGAAGGTGGCTGAAATGGCCATACAACCAGAAACCCCCCAGGGGGCTCTTCCTGGGGCAGCGGCACCGGCCGAGTGCTCCATGCCTCCTCCCTCCAAACGTCCCCCTGGTCTGACCATAAACATGGGTGTTCCCACCGGGTGGGACTGGAGGAGCGGAGGGTGGCTCCACAGCCTATCGAGAGTTGTATTTTCGGATTGTCCTTTTATGCCAAGTATGTGTGTGTCGGACTGTGCGATGGATTTGTGTAGCAAACTTGAGTCTGCAAATAAAGTACCCAGCTGCGGCCGGAGTGTGCTGTGCAGTCCTCCTGGGGAAGGAGGGTCTTCTAACACCAGGGGACCCAGGGGGTCCCCCAAACACCCGACAGAGTCAGGAAGGTGGAGAGATTGACTTTCTCACAGAAAACGCGAGCAGAGCAGTTAGGGGGTTTGCCTGTGACCACCCAGCAGTGTCCAAGGCAGACGGACCCCCAAACGAAGTAGGTCTTCCTCCTGCGATTCTCAGAGTGTCTCCGGTTCTTCTTCAGCATTTACTGCAGATCCACTCTGGGTCTTAACTTAGACGCCTCCCCTTTGGGGACAGAGCCCAGCGCTGTGGTTTGGAGAACATCACTCCTTCTGTCCCTGACACATGACCCCTTCTGTGACCCCGAGAACTCCTGCCCGTCATGAGGGAGGGCTCGATCAGACCATCCCTCCCTCCCTGGGGAAGGTCAGCAAGCAGAACGGCCTGCCGCACGCCTCCCGGGTGGTCCTTGCAGCGTGGCTGCGGTCCGGGGAGGCCCACATCTGCTGGCCCAGCTGGAGCGTCTTCTCGCTAGTGGCCGGCTCCATGTTTATGACCGCAGATTAACTGCATCTTATTAAATGTAAATTCGGTTTTAGTCACTTCATGCCTCTCTGGGTCAGATTCCTGGAGCCCTGAAGTGTTTTGGAGGAGTCCATCCTTCCTCCAAACAGACTGAGGACGTGACTGGGGTTTGAGAGTCCTCTCGTGCGAGGACGGGGAGGGGGGGAAGGGTCCATCTGGTTTGGGCAGAAGGCGGCAGATTGCTGTCTAACTCCCCAACGCTGCCGAGCCAGATGAGGCTCACCTTCCTGTTTATCCACAGCGGGCTGTGGGTGACCAGACAGGGGTGGGAGGAATTTTCAGCTCAGAGTCCGTCCCCATCCGCTGCTGTAGTCTCACGGGCGCAGCCACAGGAGGGCCAGCACTTTTCAGAAGGAAACTGCTCTTTGCAGCTGGGGATCACTCAGTCTCCAGGCATTCATCTGGCAGGGCAGTGGTCCTTGATGACCATGTCCCTGGGGTCACAGCAGTGCCCTGTGCTCTGGGGACATGGTGGGATTTCAAGTCCATTGGCTTTAATTCAACACCTGTCAGAAGGGCGCACTGAGGTCAGACATGGGGTATCAATGCTGGTTTGTGCTGCAAAAGTCACGGGAGCCAGTGAGTGAGTTCCTGTATGTCCCCCGTAACCATGGTCCAGTTTTGCAACAGCTGGCACCCAGCCAAGGCTGGGAAGAAAATCTGAACTCCCAGCGAGCCCGAGTGGGATCGCTTCTCCCACTCTGAGCCGCCTCCCCTGACAGGTTTTAAACACTCACCTTCCCCTACCTCATCTGAACAGAACCCGCCACTTCCAGTGTGATGCTTGGATCTGAAGTGAGACCGAGTCTGCTGGACCGAGGTCAGAAGGGACCATTTGCCCACCTCACTGTGCTGCTGTTGACGCATGGGCTCCTCTGGCCAGCACATCCCATTGCCGACGCAGACTGAGTTCACTCAAACTGCATTTAGGCCACATCTTCTCCGTCCTGCCTAGGGCGGTGGTCTTTTGAATCTCAGAGTATGACCTCCCTGCGGAGCCGGTGGAACCCACTCGGAATGGGTGGGAAGTAGCAGAATGAGGGGACTGGACTAGGTGGGGCCGGCAGTTGGCAGGGTCTGTGCAGTGAGAGGCAGGGAATGACCTCGGGGAACACCCAGCCTGCTGAGTGGGGGGCCGAGGAGCCCCGGCCCCCGTGGCTGGTTTGCTTGCCTTTGAGTCCCACCTGCAGTCTCTGCGGGGCGCATGCACCTCGATGTGCCCAAGGTCACCAGCCTGCCCTTGAGCACCCACAGAGCATCCCCAGGCTCTATTTCCCAGGCCCCCCCTGCCCCCACCCAACGTTCCTGGAAATGCCCAGGGATGCTCACGCGCCCCTGAGTCCATCCTGGCGGATGCTGCACCCCATCTCCAATCCCACCATGCAAGGACAGTGTCACCTCTTGCCCTCCCGTAACCAGCTTCTCCAGGTTGCTGCCACGCCACGCCACGCCACGCCACGCCACGCCACACGTGGACACAGTCCCTTCTGGAAGCGTAGCCAAGACCAGGACAAACCTGAACAAAACTTTATTGAAGCCTTGAGCAGGAATCATATTACGGAAAAGCGCTGAAACTGGATCCTAGAACTCAGAGCTCTGGTGGTCCCGGGGCTGCACCCAGCCCAGGCTTCTCCTCCTGGCCTTCCCTTGCCCCTCAGCCTCTGCTGCAGGGCCATGGGCCTGCCCCTTCCTGCGGATGCCTCACTCTGGGGCCGGCACCCACACTCAGGCTTCTGTGGGCTCCGCCCCAGCGTCAGCCTCCCCCCCCCCCAACAACTTATTCTTCTCCTCAGGAGATAACCTGTTTCGTGGGCATGCCTAGACTTCCCCACGCTGGCACAGAATTCTGCTGTTACTGTTGCAAAACCAAAGGCACATTAGTGTCTCTCCCTAGAATCTGAGTCAGACAAGCACTGGAAGCTTCAACAGAGTGATGTTTTCTCTCTAGCTGTTAAGAAGTCAAAACTCCTGGGACACTTTCAATCGGATTCCCCCGTTACACGGAGCCTGGGGACAAGTCTCAACTGGGGACAGAAAGTGTAATTGGAAGAGACCTGGCCAGGGAAGCGGAGGGCAGAAGCAGTTCAGGGAGCTATGACACACTGCAGATGGAGGGACTGTGTGCTCATGGTGATGAGCACACCGGCTCTGAGGCCACAGCAGCGGGAGCACAGACCACAGGTGGGAACTCGCCACTGCCATGACAGAGGGAGGCCTGGACATTGCCCACCCCAGCCACGTCTGCCAGGGGCTTCCCCACACCCTGCGCAGGGAGCATGGGGAGTTAACCCAGGTGGATTCCCTCTGCACCTAGTCTTTGCTGTTGACCATATCTACAGCACGTGCCCCGGGCCTTGCAACAAATGCCCCTTTAAGAATCGAACGAGACACGTTTAAGAAAATAAAACTAAGCAGGCTCCAGAAGCATGCGGGGCCCTAGCTGGGAAGCGGGCCAGCCCCTGGGCGAGCCAGCACGAGATACCAGTGGACTGGCCTAGTGCGTGCGGGAGATGGGACTCGGTGTGTGTGGCTCCACTTCTGACGCCGTCAGGCAGTGTGCAGTGGGAGGCCGTGAAGGGGGTAAGGACAGGCCAGCCAGGGCTGCCCGGGGGGCCTCTGTGGGCGGCCTAAGTCCCGGTCAACCCTGATTCAGCCCCCGGCGCCTGGAGCAGGGATGCCCCCCTGTGCAGGCCCCAGGCTGGGGGGAGCAGACGAGGAGGAGGGGAAGAAGTGCCAGGCTCTGAGGTGGGGGTTTGGGAGGGGTGGGGGTGAAGATAGGGGTGGGGGTGAAGATAGGCGAGGGGAAGCGGGGGGGGGGGGGGGGCAGGATGACAAACGTGAGGTTGAGGGATCTTCAGCCTAAGTAAGCAAAATGCTGTTGGAAAAAGAGAGCATTTCAGATGTATAAATATTTTGTTAGTCATAGTGCTGAAAAAACTTTTAGTAAAGCCTCAGAGTTTCATGAACATACATCACACGTGTGTGCACTTTACTACTTCATCATTAGCCTGGGGGCTGTTCCTGGCCCGGTGACACCCACGCCTCGGTCCCCATGGGGGGCGGGTAGAAGACTCTCTGAGCGCGCCACGAGGGTGGCCTGAAGAAGCCGGGGTGCAGGAGGGTTGAAGCCGATGCCTCCAGCACCTTCAGACAACGTGGGAAACTGGAAATCCCAGAGGAATGGTGCCTTGGCCCACCGCACGGCCCCTCCCAGGGAGGAGCAGGACGTGTCCAGCCCAGCTCTCCCAGGGCCGCGTCTGCAGCCAGCCTGCTGCAGGAAGACGCTGGGCCCGCAGGGACTCCTCCCCAGACAGGGTCACACGCGTGCCGTGGTGACGTCCAACAGCTTCTGGATCATCTGGTCATGGGTGCCGTGGAAGGGCAGCCCATCCACCTCCATGCCCACGATGCCCGAGACGCCACTGCGGACTTTATGCCACACCAGGATGTCCAGCATTTTTTCTTCCTGGAACAAAGGGAGTCAGAGGTAGAAAGAGAGAAGGGGGGCAGGGGACAGAGAAAGCTGCACGTATGAGTAAGTGGAGGAAGAGCACTGGACTTGACATGGCCTCTTTCTGAACAATAAAATGTGAGTGAAAAATGTCACAGCCACTGGGAGACTCATACTGAACAACAGTGGGGACCTACGGCATCAGACTGCGTCGCTGTCCCGCGGGCCCCGAACCCGCTCTCTGGAAGAGACTGCTCTCTGGAAGGGACTGCTCTCTGGAAGGGGCCACTCTGAACAGTTTGGGCTGTTTCCTCTGCCAGTTACCTTCATGTAACCAAATAATAAGCTTTTATGAAAACCTACATCTTCTTAACGAACTCTAAAGATTCACTCCTTCTGCAGGTGCAGCATGGGCCACTTCCTGCCAACCTGGCTCTGGCCAGCTCCGTGTTTCCTGTCCCCGGCCTTTGTGCCAGGAAGGCCCCCATTCCTCCTGAAAGCCCACTTATAGCCTCCGGTGGGGCGCGGGTCAAGTCCTATTGCTGTCCCCTTCCAGAAGCTTCTGGAGCAAGCAGGGCCATTGAAAAACTGCAGGCCCCTCCTGATGCTGCAACCCAGGGTCCAACAGGCAGAGTGGCTCTGGCCTTTCCTGGCAGATGTTTTAACCTCTCTGTGCCTCAGTGTCCCCATCTGTATGATGGGGAGGTTGATGATAACAATGATGCCACCTCTGGAGGGCTATTGTGAGGATTAAATGAGATGATACAAGCAAAGCACCTAGCATGGTCCTCAGCACACAGTGGGTGCTCACCAAATGAGGCTGATTATTACTGGATTACTGACAGGGCAGGGTCCCTGGCCTCCAGCCCAGAGCCTTCCTGAGTGATGTGATTCCCCTCCTTCTCTTCCCCTCCACTTGTCTGACCAACTAATGTGTCTGTTCCAGCTGAATAGCTCCAGTCCCCCTGAGGAAGGTGCGCCTTCCATAGAGAAACAGAGAAAGACCAGTGCCAGTGGGGAAGAAGTCAAAGTCATCTTCCCCCTCTTCCTCCTCCACCAAAGTAAGGAGGGGATGAGAGCAGGGGACCAAGGCACCGAGAACAGGAAGACGTGACAGGTCTGAGGAGGCCTCCCACCTTCCTGCTCAGGCATTGCTGACTCATTCCGTCACCTGTCGAAGTTTCTTGGAGAACCTGCAGTGTGCCAGGCTCTGAACCAGTGAGACGGTGGTGACGGAGGCAGGGTCCAGGCCCCGGAGGGTGGGGGTCCCAGTCTGGCTGAGTGCTCAGGCAGGCATGGTCTGCCGCAGGGCCCACAGCACAGGGCAGGGCACCCAACCCCTTCCCTGGAGAGACCCGTGGAATACCGTTCAGGAGGAGGGGCAGCTAGGACCACAGCTGCCAAAAGAGCAGAAATGAGCCAAACAAGGGGCGGCGAGAAGCACTCATCGCTGAAAACTTTTCCGAACAATGGAGAAAGTGTTGGCAAATGTCAGGGGACGTGCCTCTGCACTCGGCGGGCTGGAGAACCTGCGTTTCTGCTCTGCCAAGGGAGCCAAGGTGGAAGGGGGCCCAGAGCATTTCCAAAGAGCGGTTGACCCAACAGCCCCTCCAGGGGCCACCCAACCCAGAATGGCATTTCCCGCCCTTTGTTTGGGATTTTTTCCCATTTGTCTTCTGCACTGGCTCACATCCTCCCTTTAGGAGGACTGCTTCTAGAGCCATTGGGTCATTTCCTCCCCGCTTGCTGCCCGCCCCCAGCATCTGTATCCTTCGGGACCTCGGGGCCTCGGGAGGGCCTAGTGGTCCTCAGGATGCACTAACCAAGCCCTAGGAACCGGCTGGCACTTGGCTTCTGAGAGCCCCAGGGGTCAGCTGGGTCAACAGTGACTGCTTGAAAATGTCCCAGGAATCACCAACTTCCAGGAGTGAGCTGGTGGGGGGTGGGGGGAGGGAGGAACAGAACTGACCAGGGAGGGGCCGGAGGCAGAGCACCGGGCTCAGGCAGGGAGCAGATGGGGGACGGTGGGCAGAAGAGAGGCAGAGGGGACAGGGCTTGCGGCCTTGTTCCCTAGGGATGGGAAAAGAGGTCCCAAGTGACTTCTGGTTGAAAGTGGCTGGTCACTGTGGATTCCCCCCTGGAGCACAGTGGGCTGATGGTCACAATTAGGTGATGTTGCTGTTCACAGTGGGGGGCCATGGCCCATGTGGCTCAGTTGGTTTGAGTGTCGTCCCAAAGACCAAAAGGTCATGGGTTTGAGTCCTGGTCAGACACATATCCAGGTTGCAGATTCGATCCCCGGTCAGGGCCCATACAAGAAAGCAACTGATCAATGTTTCTCTCTCTCTCTGTCTCCAAAAGCAATGAAAAATTTTTATCCTCAGATGAGGATAAAAGAAAGTAAGAAGGGGCCTCCTGGGGAGCTGGAGCTGTTCTGCATGTGATCTTGGGGACCGTGACACAGTCCAGTGAGGGATTCTGTGCTTTAGGTCAGTCGTACCTCGTTACAAAAATTAAACAGTGGAGTGAGATGAAAGTGTGGAAGAGGATGGGAGCCCAGGGGAAGCCAGAGGCCATGTCCCTCTGTGTCATCCATCATCCATTCTCCACTCCCCCATCGTCCGTCCGCTCATCCACCCAGCCAGCCAGTGAGCCAGCCTTCCCTCCCTCCTTCCTTCCTTTTGTCCATCCGTCCTTCCTTAGTCCCTCCTGTAAATTCTCACCAGTTGGCTCCTGGTCCCTGCGAAGGTCTGGGGAATGCTGTGCAGCTATTTGTTCTGCCCTCCGGTACAGCCCAGGGCACGGCCAGCAGCCAGAGTGGGCAGGGCGTGGCTCCCTGGCCTCCTCAGTGTGGTGTCCCCTCCTGTTACAGCTGTGATCAGACTGCCCCCCAATATGGAAGGCCCAACTCACAGAGCAGAGCTGAGGGACATTCCTCTGCTCCTAACCAATCAGGCTTCACCACCATCTCAGGCCACAGCTCTGCCCAGCATCTCCTGTGACCCAGGGACCCCCAAGGAGTGACCCACTGAACTCCAGTATGACTATTCTCTGGTCACTCTCCTGAACACTGCACCACCGTGTGTCCCTGCACCTTCCTGCTGCTGCCCAGAAGGGCCTTCCCTCCCTCCTCACCTGACTGCTAATATCCTGCTCTTCCTCTAAGATCCAGTTGAGTGCCACCTCCTCCAGGCAGCCTTCCTTGAGCTCTCTGAGTGCCCGTTCCTTATGTCCCCCCAGAATCTTGCTGTGCCATTTCCAACCTGTCTCCTGAAACTACCTTTTGTGTGTCGTTTCCCCTGTGAATCCTGAGTTCCCCGTCCAGGGACCAGGTCCGACCCCTCACTGTCTCGCTGGATAAGCCCCAGGCTTGACCCAGAGAAGGAGCTCAACAAATATATGTTTGTGCTTTTGCTTTAAAAATGTTCCTTTTAATTTCAGGGGAAAGGGGAAGGGTTTACAGGAACTAGTATAAAGGACACATGGGCAAAAACTAAGGGGGTGGAAATGGGAGGGAGGTGGGAAGCACAGGGGGGTGGGCTGGGATGGGAGTAAAAGACAGAAAACTGTACTTGAACAACAGTTAAATAATTTTTTTAAAAAATGTTCCTTTTAAATTTTATTTACAAGGCTGGGGCATATTCATACATTTATGAAGAACTGGGTGGAACCTCAGAAGGAGGATTTTCCATCCCCAGGGTTGAGTGTTTGAGCTGTGTGAATGTGTTTGCGTGAATCAGAAATCATGTGTGAGGCAGCACCCTGAGTGGGTTTTTTTTTCCACTTCAGATCCAAGAAGTGCCAAGAAACAGAGGCCCTCTGGGTCCCTCTAGGCCAGACCATTTCCCCAGAAAACATCACTTCTACTCGGGAGCCCTGCTCTCCCTCCCCTCCCACATGGCAGCCTGGCATTACCAGGAACCGATGCCTTTACCAGGAACGGGGAGCCCTCTGGGCCGTGTTGGGAAGAGCCCAGAGAGTGCGCAGTTAGAGACACCCGGGCCCAGACCTCAGCTCTTCCTCTTAGCTGGGCAGTGCTGCTGGGCAAGCCGCCTCCCCTGTTGGGGCCTTGCCTCCCTCATTTGTCAGAGTCATGGCCAGTGCAGGCAGGTGTTGGAGAGACACAGGGCTGGGGGTGGAGGTAGGAGGGATAAGCAGAGGGAGAGACAGGCAGAAGAAAGAGGGGATCAGACAGGGTATAAGACAATGGAGGGAGACAGGAAAGAGGAAGTGGCAGCCCTGGGTGCCCGCCCAGCTCAGCGGCTGCTTCCAGGCTTAGCGCTCAGGAACCGCCTGCCTCTTCCTTGTCTTCCCCAGACCAACCCTTGTCCAGGACACTGGAAGCCAACCCCCTTCTATCCCAGAGTCTCCAGCTGTGGTCTCTGCAGCAGCAGCAGCAGCAGCAGCAGCAGCAGCAGCAGCAGCAGCAGCAGCAGCGTTACCGGGAAACCTGTCAGATACCTGGATACTCCAGCCTACCTCAGACCTCCTGAGTCGGGAACCCTGGGGCGGGCCCCACGCTCTGTGGTTTAACAACCCGTGAGGTGATTCTGATGCCTCTAAAGTTTGAGAACCACTGCTCTAATAAAGCCCTGCTTTCATCCATTCACTTTCCCATCCACCCACCCATCTATTCACCCACTCATCCACTCACCCATCCATCCATCCATCCATCCATCAATCCACCCACCCACCCACCTACCTGTCTATCCATCCGCCCATTTGCCCATCTGCCCATCAACCCGTCAACCCACCCACACGTCCACCCACCCACCCACGGATCCAACGAGGATTTACCCAGCACCGTGTTTCCCTCTACTGATTGTCGGAAAGCAGATACAAGAGACCTGGTTCCTGACTTCCAGAAGTTTTGATTTTTTTTCTTTAACATTTAGTAACCTATGCCTTTGAGAGGCCAGGACTGGGAAAGTGAAGCCGTAAGTGCCGTGAGACTGCTTTGGACTGACGGGACGAGGCCTCGGGGTCGGGTGCAGCCCGACTCAGCAGGGGAGACCCCTCCCCACACCCTGACCTGGGCCCTGCGTCCGAAAGTTCCCTCCTCACAGAGCGGGGCAGCTCTGAGATGAACAAGCTCTTCTTACACTGAACCAGAATCCGCTCTTGTAACCACTGCCCTTGGCCTGCTTTCTGCCTGTCCCCTCCCCTGGGAAGCCATGTGGGTGTGTGACCCCCCCAGTCTTCTCTCCTCCAGGGAAAACACCCCAGCTCCCGCCACTGTTTCTCAAGGCATGTCCCGCCCTCCCATCCTCCCTCCTGCCTGTCCTCAGGTGGAACTGTCATCTCACAGGTGAAGTTACTTCTGACCTGGGATTGCGGCGTAAACTCAGGGCTTTGGCCCCATTTTCCCATGATCCAAATTACTCTGGAAAATTCCCACAGAGAGAGACTTTCGGCCAAGATGGAGGAACAGGTAGATATACTTTGCCTCCTCGCACAATCAAAAGAAGAACAACAAGAAATTTCAAAAGCAGAAATAACCAGAACTGTCAGAAAATTGAACTGTATGGAGGTCCAACAACCAAGGAGTTAAAGAAGAAACATTCATCCAGACAGGTAAGAGGGGCAGAGACAGGCAGCCGAGGCAGAGAGGACTTGTGGCAAGGTGGCGGCTGGAAGACTGGGGCAGGTGAGGTGGTGGCTGGCAGGCCAGTAGCTCCATATTTGCATGCAGATAAACTGGGAGGAACAACTAGGGAGCAAGACTAACCGCACAACCCAGGGTTCCAGTGAGAGGGGGAAAAAGCCTCAAACCTCTGACCGAAAATACATGTGGAGGTTGAGGCGGCAGCAGGAGAAACTCCCAGCCTCACAGAAGAGTTATTAGAGAGACCCACAGGGTCCTAGAACGTGCACAGATGCACCCACCCAGGAATCAGCACCAGACAGGCCCAATTTGCTTTTGGGTAGTGGAGGAAGTGACTGAAAGCTGGCAGAGAGCTGAACAAGTGGCATTGTTCCCTCTCGGACTCCTCCCCCACATACAGCATCACAATGCAGCCATGTAGGTTTCCCCACCCTGGTGAATACCTAAGGCTCCACCCCTTACTACATAACAGGCACACCAAGACAAAAAAGAGAAATGACTCAAATGAAAGAACAGATCAAAGCTCCAGAAAAAAATACAACAAAGCGATGAATAGCCAACTTATCAGATGCATAGTTCAAAACACTGGTAATCAGGATGCTCAGAGAAATGGTTGAGTATGGTCACAAAATAGAGAAAAGAGTAAAGGCTATGAAAAGGAAAATAAAGAAAAATGTACAGGGAACCAACAGGATGGGAAGGAAGCTGGGATTCAAATCAGTGGTTTGGAGCAGAAGGAAGAAATAAACATTCAAACAGAACAGAATGAAAAAACAAGAATTCAGAAAACTGAGAGGCTTAGGAACCTCCAGGACAACTTTAAATGTTGTAACACATGATTCATAGAGGTGCCAGAAGGGGAAGAGGAAGAGCAAGACCTTGAAAACTTACTTGAAAACAATGAAGGAGAACTTCTCCAATGTGGCAAAGGAAATAGACTTCCAGGAAGTCCAGGAAGCTCAGAGAGTCCCAAAGAAGTTGGATCCAAAGCACATCATCATTCCATTACCCAAGATTAAAGATACAGAGAGAATCTTAAAAGCTGCAAGAGGAAAGGAGAGAGTTGCCTACAAAGGAGTGTTCATAAGGATATCAGCAGATTTCTCGAAAGAAACCTTCCAGACAAAAAGGGTCTGGAAAGAAGTATTCAAAGTCGTGAAAGGCGAAGACCTACATCCAAGATTACTCTACCGAGCAAAGCTATCATTTAGAATGAAAGGGCAGATAAAGTGATTCCCAGATAAGGCCAAGTTCAAGGAGTTCACCATCACCAAACCCTTGTTATATGAAATGATATGACTAAGAAAAAGAAGATTAAAAAATACAAATAGTAAAATAACAAACTCACAACTATCAACAATTGAACCTAAAAAAACCAAAACCAAAAACAAAACAAACTAAGCAAACAACTAGAACAGGAACAGATTCACAGAAATGGAGATCACATGGAGGGTTATTAGCAGGGGGACGCTGGGGAAGAATGGGGGAAAAGATACAGGGAATAAGAAGCATAAATGGTAAGTAGAAAATAGACAGGGGGAGGTTAGGAGTAGTATGGGAAATGGAGAAGCCAAAGAACTTATATGTACAACCTACGGACATGAACTAAGGTGGGGAATGATGGTGGGAGCAGGGGTACACGGCACAGGGGAATAAAGGGGAGAAAAAAAGGGGCAAAAAAATTCCCACAGAAGGTGCCCTTTGGAGGCTGAGGAACCCCCAGTTTCTCTCCTAAGTGGGTGCCCGGCCCTGCCTGGCACACGAGGAGACGTGGGCTGGGTCTGGAATCGGAGTCACCGGGGCAGGGCCTGCCTGCTCCAGGAGGGCCTGGGAACTGAGCGGGAGGAAGGCGGCAGAGTCTCCAACCAGCTCAGGCTCTGGGGTAGAACTGCCGGCTCCATGCACAGGGCTGACCGCTCTCCTGCATTTCCCCACCATCTGTGTGAGGCCACAGAGGTCAAACGTCCATCCACACATGTGCGGTGCCTGCCCCCTCAGCACTGGTCCACTGCGGAATGCCCTGATCGCACACAGCCCTTCGGGCGGCTGGCCCTGCAGTCGGACGAGCTCACGCAAAAGCCCCCCAGTGGGGTCCCATTCCCTTGCTCGAAACCCTTGCGTGCTCCCTATCACTTCTCAATGGGACCCTCCGTGAGGAAGCCACAGGTTCCTGGATCCAGCAAATGTGACCACTGTCTGTCCCGGGGGCTGTTAATGACCCCACACTATTTGGAGGATCCAGTGAAACCACAGATTCTTGCCCAGAAAAATCCACATATAGAACAATCTCGCAAAGCATTTCAAAGAACCCCTGGGCCCCACTTTGCAGACCCTGGGCTCAGAAGCCCCCTCCTCTCCAGCACACCCCCTGCCCTTCCCAGCCCAGCACTGAGCTTGTCTCCCTCATCCAGCTTCTTGTTCCTGCCACGCCTCCTTTCTGAGGTGCCTCACCTTCCTCTGGGTTCATTTCATCCAGCCTCCAGCCCCCAAGATCCTCTCCCCACCCTAGTCCCCCCAACCTTAGCATGTTATGGGGGGGCTAATGGTCCCATCCCACCTGAGGTTTTAGTGTCTTGGCTGGATGGTAAACCTTGGAAGGGGACGATGGGGACACCCACAGCTGCAGGCACACCTCGTTCCTTTGCTCTTCGCCTCACTGCTCCCTCAGAGATGTTGCGTTTGTTCACAAACCAAAGGCAGGGCCCTCCAGTCAAATGATCGTGGCCCACTTTACTGCGGTACCTGCTTTATTGCGGCAGTCTGAACTGAACCCGCAACATCTCTGAGGTCCGCCTGTGCATCCAGCTCACCCAGTGATGCTGCTAGTCCCCCGGTGTAGGGACGGAGGAAATGAGGCTCAGAGAGGTTAAGCAACTTGCTTCAAGTCAACCTAGGAGGAACATGGTCATTGGGATCAGGTCTGCCATAACAACTTAGGATCATGAGTAGGTCAGAGGTCACCCCACCAGTCCAGCTGGGACACCTTTGCTTCCAGGTAGGTTCTGACTCAGGCCGTGGACAGGCAGCAGTGGTGCTGGCCCGTGGGCTCATGGCCCAGAGCAGCAGGCCAGCTCCTCACCCAGGGGGAAGTCACCTGCACAGAATGGCCAGTGGGGGTGTGTTACCTTGTCGATGGATGGGAGCGCCTGAGTCCAGTTCTGTTCCCCGGGTGCTGCGGAGGGCCCAGTGGCCCTCCTCAGGTAACGTCCATGGACCTCACAGGAGTTCAGGATGTACAGAGCACAGGCCAAGGCGTAGCCTCCCCAGTTAGAAACACCTAGACCAGAAGAAGGTTTCAGCAGAGACCTGGAAAGGTCATGCAGTCCCCCGTCACCCTGCCTCTAAGCATCAGAACGCATCTCAAGAGTGGTCCCAGACCAGTGTCGCCAGTGGTACCTGGACCTCACTGGAAACACACATCCTTGGGCTGTATCCCAGGTCTACTTAACCAGAAACTCAGCAGGAGAGTGGGGAGCAAGCTGGGCTTTACTAAGCCTTCCACGAGATTCTGATTCAAGTTCAAGTTTGAGAAGCTTTGCTCTAAACCATCTGGGTTATGTACTGTTAATGGCCATCAGAGAAGACGATCCAGGTGGTGAGAGAGGAAGCCATTCCAGGACGCCCCCTTGAGGAGTGGCTACCCCGAGACCTTGGGCCGCATGGCAGCCTGTCCTTAGAAGAGCAGGTGACAGCTCCTCTTCCTGTTCTTGAGGATGACTCCCAGGTCAGCCTCACGTCCTTCCTCCGTGGTCAGACAGCCCCAAAGGGCTATTTCCCATTTGGGGGACTACCTCAATGGCTCTTCTCTGAAACCTGCTGGAGTTAGTTCTTGGCTTGGTTGAAGAAGGATGGATTAAAGACCAGCTAAACTCTAGGTGCAAAAGGATTGAAGAAGAAAGAGGACCTTCCAATCAGGGCAGAGAGGGACTGGCCACGCAGCCAACCTCAGGGTGGCACAATCCATGAACGAGACGTTCCCAAAGGATTAGTGGGGCACTGAGAAGGGCACTTGTTCTGACTGACTAGGAGAAGATACACAGAAAAGGCTCATTCAGTAGGGGCCTTGCAGTCTGGGTAGAATCTGCCAGAGGAAGGGTGAAGGTAGGAAAGATCAAAATACCCGCTGGGTACAAAGGCAGGTGACAGGACACTGAAGGCACATGTCAGAATATGATGGGTGCAGACCACGTGATAAAAATACCGTATTCCACTGCTTCTGAGATACACATTTTTTGCCATTTACATCTCTGAAGTTGAGATGCCTCTGGTAGTCAATTTCATTCTATGGTTATAAACGACAGGCTTCCCTTTGTTAGAGGGACATAACATAACAGTGATTCTTGTCATCAGCGGTCCCTTATAGACAATGGAAGAAAGTAACGTGATTTGATTGAAGGCTTGCAGTGTGTGGCACTGTTCTAGTGCCTTACATGGATTAGCTCCTGGGGTCCTTATAAATAAGCGTGTGAGGCATGGGTGTTACAATCTTCATTTACAAAGCTGGGGGACAGGCACAGAGGGGTTAAGTCACCTGCCTAAAGTCACACAGCTTATAAGTGATGGGTATGAGATGTGAACTCAGGCTGCTGCCTCCAGAGCCCATACTCTTTTAAAAAAAATTTTTTTTAATTGTTAACTGTGGTTTAAAAACCCCATGCACATTGAACGGACATCTTACACACATTCAGGTGTGCAGCACAGTCGTGGTGAGTATATCCACGCCGTTGTGCCACTCGCAGGCCCACACTCAACCTCCACGCGAGTGGAAAATAAAAACATATTTGCAAAGTAACGTGAGAGGGAAGGAGAAGTGCTTGAAGTGCGTGCCTACCAGGCGGCTCGGATATAAAGTGGGTGTGCGCTGGGTGTGCACCGGGTGCGAGCATTGGAAGCCGATGTGCAGAACTGACAATGCTGATGGTTACGGTGAGATCTGCGCCCCCTTCCACCACCTGTCTCTACCTGCCTTTTGAAAGTGTCTGTAGTATGGCTGTCACATCTTTGCGACAGAAAACAACTAACCCCCTGTTCTATTAGTCCTACATGGGTGGGTCTTGGGGTGCAGAGTAGGGATCAAGGACATGAGGCTGAGGGGCCCCAGGACCAGGAAAGGGGACTGGACTTGAGCCCACATGCAGGGCCCCTGACCTGGGGTGCAGTGACCTGGGTCCCACTGCGCACTGTCACCTTGATGCTGGCTTGCGATGCAGCCCCAAACAGGACAGGATGGCAAACCATTAGGGCCAGGGCACCGAGGGCCAGTGGACCCTGTCGGGCCCGACTGTAGCGGGTGTGACAAGCTGCTGACCTGTGTCAGGTCTGCTTTATCCCAGGGTCCAGGGTGGAGGGGGACGGAGTCGGGCAGGGCTGCCAGGCCTCCTGATTCACTCTCCTGGGAGGGCCCTCTGCCTGTTGCCCCCAGCCTGCTACAAAAGCAGCGAATCTCTCTGAGCACCCAGCCCAGGACCCTCCAGAGGTTTCCCCTAACCCTCACCGAGAGCCACTGTTGGGGCGAGGCCAGCAAGGCTGGGAAATAAGAGCTGCCGTCGGCCTGCCTGCCTGACTCTCCAGCCCTTGGTCTTTCTCATGGACACGGAGCTGACGGAACAGACGCAACTCTCTGCCTTCAGGTCTGGCAGCTGCCAACCCTGACTCGAGGGGCCCCTGTTCATCCTTCTCAGCCCCAAACACACAGACTTTCATCCGAAGCTTTCCTTCCAAACAACCCTGTCCCCACTGTCACATGGGATCACCTCCTCTCTTTAGGGGACTTGACCTGCTGCTGAAGTCACCACATCAGTGATGCAGTGGCCAAGCCCATGGGGTTGATCTAATATACAAGAACCTGCATTCTGGGTGGCTGATAAACTGGAGGAGATCTAACGACTTCCCAAGAAATTCTCCGGGGGCTCCCTTCCCCTCCGATCCCAGGCCCCAGGGTAAAGGAGACGGGCAGATGGTGGATCTGCCAACAGCAGGCAAACTCGGGAGGGTCTCTTCTGCCTCTTCTGGGTGCGCCCCCTGGAAAGCGAACAGAGAGCAGACAACAGAGACACAGGCCGTGCACACCCTTTCAGAACTCACTCTCCATCTCTACATCTTTGGTGGGCGTCTCGTCTAGGTCTTTTGCCCATTTTTTAATGGGGCTGTTTGTTTTCTTATTGTGGAGTTTTTAAGAGTTCTTTGTGTCTTTTGGATAACAAGCTGCTGGCTGGCCAGGCTCCAAGCCAGGTCCGTCTGCCTGGGCAGCCAGGCCCGACAGGCCAGCCCTATGAGAGCACTCACCAGCGATGACAGCGAAGTCAGCCTCCACGTCACAGGCGATGACATCCCCGTTTCGTATGTGTCTCTTCACGGCCTCCTTGACTTTGCCCATCCCAAGCTCATTGCCTCCGTCCCCGACCCCTGGAGGGAAGACAAACTGAGTCCGTGCACAGGATGAGGCCAATGGCGGGAGGTTTGGGGTCAGGGCCGCCCCTGCACCTGTGCCTGCTGCTTCCGGGAAGGGAACAGGGTTGGCTCTGGATGTATTCCAACCAGGTGGTGTACTTCTTTAGGTATTCTAGAAACTTCTCTCGTTACAAGTGAGTCGAAGTTTGGCACTCCCCAGGGTGTGGCTATGTCCCTTGCTGGGTCATGCTCTCTAGTCACAAAGGGCACGCCCTCTATGTTGGCACAGGTGTGGGGAGGAACTTCCTCTCCTTTCGTCAGTGGCTCTTGCCCAGGGAGAAGCCACAAGTCCCTTCCCATTAGTGCGACCAGATGGCATCTGCCGGCAGAAGTGAACTGGTATGGATTTTTTAATGTCAATTCTGTAACTTACTTTCAAGGCTTTTGTTTAAAGAATGTGAAATGTATGAGTGTCAGTTAATTTTGATCTACACCAACCAGAGGGAGGGGGTGGCCTCATGGGAACACAGAGCCCGGGGGTGGCTGGGTAGCGTCTGAAAGGGACCTGTGTCTAAAGGCCAATCTGTCCATCAGCACCAGAGGATTCGTTCATGAGCATAATAAATGCTGGACTAAGTGTGTTTGAATAGATACACACTAGAAGTTGCTTAATCCATTGGTGAAATTAATAGTGTTCAAAATAGGTGACCTGGCTAAAAATAACCCACAGACCCCCGCCCCCACCCTTGCAGGAACACGATAGAAAAATCCGACCAGCCCTCAGCCCTGCAGCCTGTACCCTCTGAGGCGGTACTGTAGCACACCATTTGGTCTCCTGGGTCCGGGTATTTCTGGAGCATTCCATAGATTAGGGATCACCTGACTCTGCCTGTAGAACCCGGCTGTAATTGCTTCAGGATCACTGTCTGTCCAAGGTGCCTGTCTGAGTGCCTCAGCAGCAGAGCCGAATTCATTTTATGAATTTCACCCTGGCCGTGACCTTGTTTTCCTTGCTGAGCTCCAGAGGGGTGGGGCAGGGACAGCAATGAATGGTGGGCGTCTTGGTTCCATTTGGGAGCTACACGCACACAAGGCAGCTGCCTGGGGAAGCTGAGGAACGGGCTGTTCATGGAGCAGAGGAGAGAGAGGACATTTGGGCGGTAGCCCTGCTGGGCGGGGGCTGTGGGAAGGCACCACTGAAGCCCCCGAGGCCCTGAGAGGCGGGCAGAGGTCCACGAAGGCAGGGCCATGAAGGTACAGTCAGCTCCACCTGCCTGCTCTGGGGTCTCCGGAAGCCCACTTGGGGGATCTGCGCAGAGCGGGGTCTGTGCAGTGTGAACTCGGAGACCCTTTCCTTTCCTGCCCTGGATCCTCCCCCCAGGCCCTGGTCAGGGGTATCCAACCTTTTGGCATCTCTGTGCCACACTGGAAGAAGAAGAGTTGCCTTGGACCACACGATACATTGCACTATGTAATCACTAAAACATCTCTAATGTTTTAAGTAAATTGACAATTTTGTATTCGTATTCATAGCCTCTGGTTGCTCCCACAGCCATCCTGAGCCACGTGCTGCCCGCAGGCAGCAGGTTGGATGCCCCTGCGAGGCCCTGGGCCTGCCCTGCCCAGAGAGACGGGAAGCACCAAGCCAACTGCTCTGCGGGCGCCACCCCCGCGGCCTTTTCTGGGAAGGACCAGGGCAGGTTGGCAGACATTTCCTACTCAGCCGGAAGACTTTTATCATCTCATCAAAAACCTTAAAAGCCTAAGGCAACTAATGTGTTGGGGAAGCACTGTGGAGTGTGTGAGAGAACAGATAAATACAGAATGGCAAACAGGCCTTACTGACCCAGCCTCCGGGGAGGAGGAAGGCTGGTTCTCCATAGGAGTTTTGTGCAGCCTTTCAGAAATCCACAGATTCTATGGAAAACCTGTTGGGCATGGTCTTGGGAGTCTGATTCTCCCCGAAACATCAGTGAGCGGGGCAGCCTTAAGAAGCCCTGCTAGGCCTCAGTTTCAGATGTGATACACCTGCCTGATCTACCCCACAGGGTTTTAAAGAGGCTCAACAATGCAAGAAATGTGCAACCTCTTTGAAAACTAGGAAGTTCTGTGCTTTACACAAATGGTCACACTATGATATTGTTAGCAATCAAAAATACTGCCCTACTCAGATAGTTAACATATTTAAAATGCATATGCTTCCTAAGGTTATCATCGGCAGTCAGACAGACATGAGCAGAGTCAGCACACCCGGCCACGTACAGAAGGTCACCAGGGCAGACAGCCCTGGGTGCCTAGCAACAGGCAAGTCTGGGAAGACAAGGGCCTCGCCCCCAGCGGGACCTTTCCTCTCCTAGCGTGTCCCTGGTCCCGCAGTTTAGGCCTCCCTGACCTTTCATACTGCTGGGCACTCGGTTTAACCCCTTAACTTTTCCTCCTTAAGGATAACATCTAGGCCTCAGCTGCGCTTCAGCCCCAGGCCCAGAAAACCAGCAAAACCAGACAACTGACACCACGGTAGCCTCAGGACCTGCAGCAATGACTAACAACCCCCTGCCCTGGCGCCGACCAATCACTGCAGACCACGACCCTGAAAAGACACTTGGTAAGCTGATAAATGTTCTACTGTGACCCTCCCCTGACTTCCCCCTAAGATTCCCACCTGCAAGAGAGAAATAAAAGCCCTCAGGACAAAGGACCAGGTGTGCTTTCCCTCTGAGGGGGTGTGCTGTGTCTTTCTCTTCCCCGTCTTCTCCCAACAGGCAGCATGTCCCAAGCCCTGAGGGACCCCCTGAGACATGCAACCAGGGGAGCAGTGGGCAGCAGCAGCTCACCCCAGGCTGATCCCCTGAACCCATCCCAAAGCCCCCTGCTCTCTGACTTCCCAGGGAGCTAAGGCAGCCCCGCCTGGGCTCTGCTGTGGCTTCTTCTGTACTCAGCCCTTCACTGTTTCACTGTCCTGAGAGCTTTGCCCTGCTCGCTTTACTGCACTTTGTCTCTCGACTAAACTCTTTCCCTCAAGAAGACAGGAGCCAAGGTCTTGCCAATAACAAGATGATGTATAGCACACAGGGCACATTCACTTACATGACCAAAATAATATGCCATGCTTTGGTTTTCTTATTACTATCCTATTATTAGCGTTAATATTTTAAAGTTGGGAAAATGGGACATGCTAGGTTAAATGGCATTTCCCTTTGTTGCTTGCAGGAATGCTGGATTTCCGAACGGTGATATAGTTGTGTGTAGGGACCATAATCAAAAAAGATCATCTCTGGAGTGGAAAGCAACGGTCCCCATATAACTCTTTCCTGTTCATGTTCAACAATCAAGAGACAGGCATTCAGTGCTGATGTTCTCGTGGAATTCTTAGTGCCCCTTGCTTACCGGTTGATGAGATTCCAGGGATTTTCTGGGCTGCAAGGAAAAGATCGTCAATGGGATCAACCAAATGCTTGATGTTCATTTTCCTCGCATTGTAGTAGTTGCCATCGGCAGCCCTTCCTGTGCGCTCTATCGCCACCAGGTGGTCGAATCTGCCAGGAAGCAAGAGCACAGGGGCCTCATGGAGAGTGTGGCTGCTTTGGTGTGAAGTCCCGCCCTCATGTGTTTGTGTGAAGGACACTTCATTCTTTCCCCGATGCCTTTATTCCTACAGAACTGGGCTGAACATCTACTATGTGCCAGGACCTGTGCTGGAGGCTAGTCTAGGAGATCATGGTAAGAACTGATAGAGGAATCATCAGCAATGTATTAGAGTCAGAGGCTGTGAGAGCAGGAGGGCCGTCGGTCAGGGTCATGACCACAGACCATGCTGGCGCCCTGCCCAGACCTCCATTAACCAGTGGGGGAGCCAGTGCCCAGTGGTTTGGGTGTTGGCTGCTATTGGCCCACAGCTACCCTCTTCCAGGATCTTGTTCAGTTAACAGATACAAAGAGACCAAAAAGAAATGAAAATATTAGACCAATGAATCTACTGTAAGATAAACTTCTTGAGACAGAAAGAGACACAAGAGGGTAGAAATGCTGGCCACAGAGTCAGATCATGCAGGTCCTCACGCCACTGGGTCTGGGTGAGTTGCTTAACCTCTCCAGACTCATTGTCTGCATTCTGTCACGTGACCTGACAACGGTCCCATCTCTAGCCATGTTGAAAGCGTTAAGAGAGCATGTGCACAAGAGGCGCTCAGCATAAAGCACCTACTCAGTGCTGGGTGAGTGTTCCTGGTGGCAGTTGTGGCTGCTATTGTTGTTATCAGGAGGAGCACTGTTTCAGAAATCCAATTTAAGAGCATGAAAATTGCACTTGTATATCTCTCTAAATCCCCTCCCCGCTCCACCTTGAGTTCTTCAGAATCTTAACTCTGCTGTGGAAAAGAGTATGGCTGTTAAGAAAAAAGAAATTTAAATATAATTACCATATGATCCAACAATTCCACTTCTGGTATACACCCAAAGGAATTGGAAGCAGGGAGTCAGAGAGATATTTATGCACCCATAAAACTAGCAGCTGTGTTCACAATAGACAGGAGGTGGAAGCAACCCAAGTGTCCATCAGCGGACGAACAAATAAGCAGTATGAGGTGTATATACACACAATGGAATACTCACCCTTTCAAAAGACAGAAATTCTGATATGTTACAGCATGGATGAGTCTCAAGGACATTTTGCTAAGGGAGAACTAAGCCCGCCACAAAATGACAAATACTATAGAATTCTACTTATAAGAAGTCCTTAGTATAGTCAGATTCATAGAGACATAAAGTGGGGTGGATGTTATCGGGGCCGGGGATAAGGAAGAATAATGTTCAGTGGGTACAGTTTTAGTCTGGGACATGAAGAAGTTCTGGGGTGGATGTGGGTTGGCTGCACAGCAGTGTGGACATGCCTCATGCCACTGAACCGTGCACTTAAAATGGCAAAACAGTCGTTTTTTAAATCTTCGCCCCGGTATATATTTATTGATGAGAGAGAGAAACACTGATCAGTTGCCTGCTGTTTGCACCCCAAGTGGGGATCAGACCTGCAACGTAGGTGTGCACCCTGACCAGGAAGCGAAACTGCCACTTTTTGGTGTAGGGTACGATGCCCCAACCAACGGAGCCATCCAGCCAGAGCACAAAAATTGTGCAATTTTGTATTATGTATATTTTACCACAATAAAAAAAATTCTAACCCTGAAGATGCTTTCTCTGAACGTGTTTTTTGAAAACAAAATCTGCCTGCTGGTCCGTGTCCTTGGGTTGGACTAGAACACGGTACCATCGCACACCCGTGGAAGAACAGGCCTCTGGACAGGGGCTGGGTTTGATCCCAAGGCGCCTGCGCAGTGCAGGGAAGGCAGCCGCTGGGGCGCAGACGCAGCGGGAGGGAGGAGCTGACCTGCATTTCCTGCAGACCCACGGTAGTGGTGCGGCCAACAGTTGAGCCCAAGAGCCTGGCACGTCCTCTGCTCTGGAAGGAGAACACTCTTTCTGGGCTTTCCCCCAGGAGAACTCAGTGACATATCTTGTGTGAGTGGATTTTTTTTAAAGCGCTCAGGGTCCATTTAGTGGGGAGTCAGTCACTCCTGGGAAGCCCGCTTCTCGGGAAAGGTCAAGGCATCTTCTCCGGGGAGAGCAGAATCCGCTCTCCCTGCGGTCAGGTCTGTCACCTCCCTCCACAAACGGAGCAACACCTGTTATCTGGCAGCAGGGGCCTGCCCACGGGGGCTTTCCAGAGCTTCTCCGGGGGCAGCCAGAGCTCAGGTGCATGCCAGCCATTCCGGAAATATCGGCAGTTCTCACAGGCACGGCACACAGTCCCACAGCCTTCAGTGTCGTACCAGCTCTGCAGTCGAACTTGTCCTCGGGGCGCGGGGTCCTCCCTGTGAACACCTGACTTTGCTGTGAGCTGCTATATGGCTTATGCCCTCCAGGCCTAGAAAAGTAGGATTTTTAAATTCTCAGTGGACCCTGATTAGTGGGCTGTAAAATGGGTGTATTAGGTCTGGTCAGCCTTTTCTGAAAAGCAGGTGAAAACAGAGTAGAACAGAACAGAACAGAGTAGAACAGGTCGGAGTACACTGCTTGTAGCAAGAGTAACTGGTCTTTCAAAACTTCTGTTTGAATCACGGGTGTGTGTGGTTTGCAATGCAAAATGTATTACTGCAGATTGTTGTCAGGAAGGGTACAAAACACAGCGCTGCAAATTATGAGATCCGAAATACATCCTACGTACAGAAAAGAAGTGTTTTTCAAAGTGTTTGGCCACAACTGGTGAAAAACACACACCTGCGCACACGCAGCTTTGCGAGCGAGTACTTGCTGCTGAGCTGCAGGGTGTGTGGCGATACTTTTATTTCATTTGACAAAGGTGCTGGTTGTCCCCCCTGAAGTGAATGCACTGCTCTCCAGTGGATCGTGACCCAGTTTGAGAAGCCGCTGATTTTTGGTTTTTATAATTTTCTTCTCCCTCTGTCAAGAAGACATGCTCCGGACCCTGCTACTCAGAGAGACCCTCTGTGAAGCCCACCGTGCACCTTGAACCCCCAGCCTTGTTGGTGAGTCTGGCCCTTTGGAACCCATGGGCTCGTGGCTCTGCTCTTTCTGCAGGGGAGCCCTGACCCGTGTGATTCAGTGGGCTGGGTGTTGTCCCGCAAAGCCAGAGGTCGGCGGTTTGATCCCCAGTGGGGGCACATGCCTGGGGTATGGGTTCTGTCCTCCACTGGGGCACATACAAGAGGCAGCCGACTGATGTTTCTCTCTCACACTGATGTTTCCTTCCCTCTTGCTCTCCCTCCCTTCCCCTCTTTCTAAAAATAAGTAAGTAAAACTTATAAAATATATGAATAAACTGGGATGGGACCCACATACCTAGGAGACCTGGGGTCCCCATCACTGCAGAGAAGCGCCTGAGCAGCTCTCGCTGACCCACCTGGGTAAGTTAATATTGGGATCTTCGTCTTCAGAACACCTTGAAAAGAAAGGCAAGGAGTGGACACATCAGTCTAGTGTGAATTTAGGGAATTCCTGTTGGCTTTTCAAAAGCTTCTTTGGAAGTGGTTATTTCCATTACTGAATGACATTCGCCTGCAGAATACTTTGTTAGGTACACCCAGCCCTTGACCCAGAGAAAACTTCAGTTTATTTATTGTTAGTCCTGAGCAAACCCTAGGGTTGGTGGAGGGTGAGGTGAAACCGGGCTGGGCTCACCAGTATTGCGGGCTAGTAAATATGTTCCTTGTAGATGCCACATAGCGCATGAACACAGGCCTGTTCTGAGCCACTGTATCGTGATGCTGGGAACACACGTAGGTGTCCATGGTGACAGTGAGCCAGCCCTTTGTAATCAGGTGACATGCATACTCTTCTTTAATTTTCCCAACAAATCTGCATGATAAGAGCCACTGTGACCCCCATTGTGCAGAGGAGGAAAACTGAGGCTCATAGATGCTATATCCCTTGGATGAAGCCTAGTATGTAGGTCGGTGTCACAATGCCAGTTCCCACCCAAACAGGTGGCCCAACAGAGCAGGGAACATAATCTGTCCCCCGGTGGGCTCACAGGGTAGGCAAGGTTGAGGCAAGATGAGACTTCGCACCTGAGCTACAAAGAACTGATTTATCAACATGGTCAATTTATACTCAAGACACAGAAGAAATGACTCAGCTGTTCCTTCTTAAAATGTCTCCTAGGCTTCTGTTAGAAAAAGAACTGGATCCTTTTCATTAAAAGCTCAAATCCCTTCTGTTTTCCTTGTCCACAGGTAATGAAACTTCCATAAAAATCCAACACAACAATCACACCTGCTAAGCCACTGTGTGGACAAGCCCAAGTCTGAGGTCAAGTTCAACTTGAGGCCCTGAGCAGGGTGAGCAAGTGAGCAGGAGGTCAGAGTGACTTCTGGGAAAGCGAGTGGCTAAAAATACCCACCAAACCAGGTCTTAGATGGCAACGATGACCAGTCTGTTGGCAGCGCTTGGCACAGCGGAATGTACCTTCTCCTTGATGACAACATAGCTCCTTGGTTTTCCCCCTTCCTCCATGCTGCTCCTTGCCCACTCCTCCCCCTTCCCCGTGACCCCGCCTTGTGGAGCATCCCAGGGTCCTTTCCTCTCTCTCCACTTATTCCCTCGGTGATCCCATCTAGTGTCTTGATTTTAAAAGCCAACAATTTGCCGACCATGCTCCAATTTATCTTTCCAGCCCAGACTGCTCTCCTGAACTTGACTCATACATCTAACTGCCTGCTTAACTTCTCCGCTGTGCGCCTAGTAGGCATCTCACACTCCGTCACCTGGGCTCCAACCTGCATTCTTTTAAGTGTTGGATTTGCGGTAAAACACACATCACGTAAAAGTTACCATCTTACCCATTTTTGAGGGTGCAGATCTCCGGCATAAGGTGCACTCATGTTGTGGTTTGGCCCTCACCATCACCCATCACTGCAAGTTTTACATCTTTGCAAACTGGAACTCTGTCCCCATGAAACACGCGCCCCTATACCCCTCCCCACAGCCCCTGACAAGCACCATTCTACTTTTCGTCCCTACGATTTTAATTACTCGTGTAAGTGGAATCTTACAGTATTTGGGTCTGGCTTATTTCACTTAGCCTGATGTCTTCAAGGTTCATCTTGTTGTAGCATGTGACAGGAGTTCCTTCCTTTTAAAGGCTAAATAATATTCCACGGCATGGACAAACCATGTTTCATTTATCCATTTGTTCATCGACAGACCTCGGGTCACTTGCACATTTTGCCCATTGGGAATAGTGCGGCTGGAACTATGGGTATGCAAATATCTGTTTGAGTTCCCATTTTCAAATATCTGGGGCATATACCCAGAAGTGAAATTGCTGCATCATGTAGATATTTTCTATTTTTAATTTTTTGAGGAACCACCATATGATTTTCCACAGTGGCTGCTCTCCTCCCACCGACCACCTCGCTCACCCTGGTCCGCGGCAGCTCCACCCCTTCAGTTACCTGCCCAAACCCTCAGAGCAACCCCGATTCTTCTGTCTCGCACCGCATCCGGTCTGCCCGGGAGTCATGGTTCAACCTTCAAAACATGGAGCGTTCTCGCTAGTTCCCACAGTCTCTACCTGTATCATTCATCTGTGTGGTCCCCCCGGAATTAGAGTCTGAGACAAAGACTTGGGTGCAGCTGGTTTATCGGGGAGGTGATCCTAGGAGGCAGGTGGGATGGGCAGGAGGAAAAGCCAACAGGAAGGTTTGTGCCTTTTCCAGGTCACTGCTCTAGGTAATGAGGTCTCACTTTCATCGGGACCTGGGTGTCTCCAAAAGACGGGAGGCAGGGCGCCCAGCGCCTGCCCCCCACTGGCTGAGTCCCCCACTGAAGACTTTAGCCCCTGCACTTCCAGGTGGACGGGTTTTCACAGCTTTGGGGAAACCTGCAGGGTGCCGGCTCCAGTGGGATGGTCAGGTCAATGTGACTTGGAGCTTCTATATTAGCACAGCTGAAGTCACAAGGGGGCCAGAGGGACAGGCCACAGGGCACCACCTTTGTCTCCCGCTTGCATCAGCCTGGCCAGTGTCCTGTTTCCACCCTTGTCCCTCCAGCTTCCCGGCTGATCCTTTAAAACCTAAGCTGGAACGTGTGGCCCTCTGCCGCCTGGTGGCCTCAAGGGCTCCCCTCCCCCCAGAGTAAAAGGCCAGTGCTCCCAGTTAATCTTGAGGCCCTTCCCGGTCTGGCCCCTGTGACCTCTGTCCCCCTCTCCCAGCTTCACCCTCCAGGCCAGTCGGCTGGCCACTGCCCTCTCTTCAACCCCACCTCGTGGCCTCTGCCCTGGCCTTGGTCACGGCCGGGCCCCTCCTTCCTCGAGCCAGCCCAGCCTCGCTCCTTCACCCGCGTCACACTTAGGCTCCGGTGGCACCTTCCCCACGGGGCCTTGTCTGACTGTCTTGTTGAAGACAGCCGCTGCCGCCTGGGCTGCTCACGCCTCTTACTTTTCCCTATGTTGTTTATGGTCCATCACACTGCATTAGAAGAGGCACCCCACGAGCAGTCCGCCGATGGATCTCGAGAGCCACGAACAGTGCCCGGCACATGGTAGGTACTCAACACACCTTCGTTGTGCGACACAGAGTCTGTACGTTCAGACACAACCTTTTCTGACACTCCCAGCCCAGCGGTGCTCTAGGGCATGCCTCCTGGGGCTGAAGCCCTTGTCGGGGGCAAAAAGATGCATTTTGAGGGACACAGAGGGACAGGCAGTGCGAGGCAGGTGAGACTCGCCAGGCTCACGGCTCGTGCGTACACTGCACCTGCAGGACGGAGGACAGGTGAGGCACCCGAGCCCGACCTTGGCACCTGAGCCTTGCATCAGCATCGCTCACAGCTCCAGTGCCTGCCTAGGACTCGGGCAGTTTGGGGCATCTCTTCCCATTGGGGCCAGAGGGGGCGCTGTTGTCTGGGCCTCCCACCCTCTCTACTCTCAACTATCTCACGCCTGACGCCAGGGGTGCACAGGGGTCCTGGTTTGCTAAGGGTCCTCTGTGGGTCACCCTCACCTCTCCTAGGGAGGGCGTCAGGTATCTGGGCCCTGAGGCCTGATGGACCTGGGTTCAAATTCCAGATCACCATTCCCATCTTGGTAAATCAGTGGACCTCTCAGAGCCTCGGTCTCTTCCTCTCTCAAACGGGGATAATGTTGCTGATTCCAAAGAGCCGTTCTGAGCTTTAAGGACTGAAAACGCCCCGTGTCAAGTGCGTAGCAGAAGTTCCACAGACGCCGATTCCCTCCACCGTCCGCCCCCATCTCGCCACCCACCTTGCTCAACAGCCTCCTGAACAAGCTTCTCGAACAAACTCAAGGCTCTCTGGTCCACAGCCATGGAGACGCCCTTCTCCAGTGCCCGCAGGAAGGCGGCCAGAGCAAGGGCTCCCGGGGGGCCGTCCGTCTCCTCTGGGGGCTCGTGGTTGAAATGCGTGGGGAACCCCGTGGTGATGAGCACCGAGCGGGCGTGTGACAGCGACAGCGAGGCCCTCAGCAGCTCGTCCCTGCAGAGCAGGTGCCCGATCCCCCGGCTGCCTAAAATGACACACAGAATAAGATCACAAAATAGCATCCTTGTGTTTCAAGTAGAAACTTAGACACACAGTGGTTTGGTCTTTTGTCTGTTTCGAAGGTGGATTTGAGGGACGTGCCCAAGACTGGCACTTGTTCACCAGAATGTATTCTCTTCTCCTGCCCCAGTCCTGAGGACAGCTGGGTCAGGGTCCGAGCAGCCTGTGGCCGGCAGGCGAGGTTCTCTCTGGGTAACAATCGTGGAGCGGTCGAAAGGGAATAGGAGCAGGGATGATGTGCACCACCGCCTGGCCACATATCTCCCTTGCACTCCTCCAAGCTCTTCCCTTCCTGAGGCCTGGGATGTTGACAACTGGGGACCCCTGTGGGTCTCACCGTTTGATGGCACATCCCTGTCTTAGGGGCACAGTACTGTCTTAGTTGGGGATCTCCCCAAAAGAAGACCCCAAGACAAGGGCTTGGGTGCAGGTGCTTTTATGGAAAGTGAGCCGAAGAAATGAGTCAGAAGGGAGAGAAGCCACTGAAGGGTGTGTGAGCGAACAGATGCTCACCAAAGCCCCTGGGCTCAGTCCCTCTTAAGATCCTGTAAGAAGCGGCGAGGATCGCACCCGAGGGCTGTCCCTCCAGGGACGGGGCGACAGGGCCTCATGCACTGGCTCCTGCGCCCTACGTGGGGAGGGCTGCCCTTCAGGACACTGACGCCCTGCCTCTGCTGGTCTGTGCCTGAGCCAGTGGAGGGGCAGAGACACCCCAGCCTAAGGTGGGGGCTGTTGTTCTGGGCGCCACCCACTGCAGCTGGGGTCTGGGCAGGGCCCCAACAGCATCCGCCACAGCTGCTCCCAGCGGCTGCCACGCCGGTCCCAGCCCGGTAGCACAGCCTTCCGACTCTCGTCACACACCATTGTGCCTTTGTCTACGCTCAGGTTGCCTCGGAGCATATCTGTGCCATGGGAAGGCAGGACGTGACTCAGAACTTCCATTATGGCTGCGGCTAAAGCGCGAGGGGGGCCTAAGGGACTCGAGAGGATGTCAGCTTGCATCGGAGGTGCCTGGAGACTATGAAGGCAGGGAGGTTGGAGTTCCTGTTTTGCAGGAAAAGCTCCCAATTTAGTATCTGGAAACTTACATTCAAGTCCAAGTGTTGGCGCATCGTGGCTGTGTGACCTTGGCCTCGTCCTGGCTTGCTCTGAGGCTCAATTTTCCCACGTGGAACACGGGGGTGGCCCGGGGGGGAGGGAGGCTGTGGGAAAATGGCCCTGCATGCTTTTCCAGTGGGAGTGGGGACGAGGACACTTGTCTGGAGGGTGGTTTGGAGCTCAGGTTTTGACCCTGGAGCCAGCAGTCACTTCCGGAGATGTAGGTATGTGGCACGCATGGTCAGAGGATGTTCACCGCAGCATTGTTTACGGTGACAAATAGGACAGTCATAACGTCGGTGGGACATTTGTAAAACGGAATTCTATGCCAAGAAAAGATTGTTGTAGAAGACTGATAGCATGGGAATATGTTCACAGTGTATGAAAAAGTTTTAAAAGTCAGGTTCTAAAGTAGTATCATAGCATGATTCACAGATATATCTACATGTATGTACATATATACACGCGTATATATATATATGTTTTGCAGGGGTGGGCAAAAGTAAGTAGGCTTATGCTGTGAGTATGCAAAACGCAGAGTTAATAAAGCTGTTGTGATGACCACAGCCTGCACACCTCTTCCCTGGGAACAACCGGACACCTCCTTTGCCTCCCCAGCCCCCCCAATATTGTTTTTGTTTGTTTCGGTCTTACAGTTTCAAGACCAAAGACAAAGGCTTTAAGGGCAAACATGACATTGTAAAACTCACAGTGGTTACTTGGGATGGGATACTAGTCATTTTTATTGCCTCCTTACTTTCATATATTTATGCAATGAACACAAGTTGCTGTTGATCAAAGGGGAGGAAAATAATATTTTGAAAGAAAACAGTTGGACTGTAACCTGTTTCATAGGGTGTGAGCACCCCAAGGAGAAAGGAGGAAAGAGAGAACCCCATCAACGTTAATGCGGTCTGCCCGCCTGTGGTGGTTTTAATAGCAGTGCAAACGCCATTATGGGAAACCTTGTCTTCCTTTATCGTCTCCAGGCACCTCCAATGCAAGCCAACGTCCTCTCAAAGATGACCAAGTAGCTCTGTCATCGTGCCCCCTGAGTAATGCTCAGCCCGCTGCCATCCATTCTCGTATCTGCTGTTTAATGCAGTGGGACTCAAGAGCATCTGTTGTTCTTTCTGGAGGATTAACAATGTTTCTTTATGGATGATATTGGCGCGCCCAGACAGCCATAAATCTTCCAGCACAGCCTCATGCTCAGGCCGCTGGGCCCCAGAGCGGGTGCTGTGGCTGGCCTCCCAGGTCGTTTTCATTAAGCCGTGGAGGCTCTCCGCAGTAACTTTACTTCATACTTCACAGTTGCTTTTTTTAAAGTCCGAGCTAATGGCAAAGTCAATAATTCATCTTCCATGATCCTTGCGCTGAGTGGGAGAGATGTCAGTGTGGGTAAGAATGCTTGCAAGAAAGTATCGCAGAAATTTTTTTTAAATGTCCACCAAGGAAATCTGCTATGTAAGACACTCAGGCCATGCACAAAGCTATGAGCATTGACCTCTGTATCTGTGTTTGTCCTAAAATGTGCATCTGGGGGATGGGGGGTCCCACATTTACTGTGCGTCTATATGTTAAGGAAATCATGTCCCTGCCAATGACTGAATGGGTGGATGAGCAAATGAAAGACCTAACAAATGAATAACCAAAGAGCTCTGCCCTCTGGTTTCACAGGAACCCTGGTTACTGCAGACCCCTCTGTGACTGGGTGGGGGGGGGGCAGCCTGGGGTCCGGGGTCCAGGCAAAGATCAGCCGTTTTTCAGGCTGCTCGGCACTGTCAGATTCTGGGCCACAGCGCCGGCCAGCACAGAAAGCTGTCTGCTTGGTGGCTCCGTTCGGGTGCTGTTCTCTACCCCAGTGTCACTGCCACCAGCTCTGCCTGGGTCTCAGGCGTCTTGCCTGGACAGTCCCCAGGTGGGTCTCACTCCCCTGCTTTCCACAGGGGCCCCGCCCCCATTGGTCCAGGTATCTGCTCAGGAAACGGGTGTCAGGTGGGCCAGCAGGGCTCCTCCTTCAGACAAAGTGCACCAACGGCCGGGTCTAGAAGCACAGCCGTGGGAAGGGGCCGCAGAGGGGTGGGGCGGGAGTCAGGAGAGGCTGGGGCCTGCTTAACGGCCTGGGACGGACTGTGACCTACCACTCGGACTCCGTCCCAATGTAGCCAGCACTACTGACCGTGGCCTGGAGGCATCGGCGCAGGTTCATGTGCTGCCCGACCGTCCTCTCCCATCTACTAGGTGTGGGGTTTAGGGCAAGTCTCTTAAGCTTATACGCCTTGATTTCTTCATCTGTTAGAGGAAGTTAATAACAGCTGCCTTGTAGGGTTATTGGGAGGATATAATAAGATGAAACATGAAAGTGCTTTTAGCACATGCCTGGCCCAGAGTAAGTCAGGAGATAATACCTATTATTGCTATTACCTATCAGAACCTTGAGAGGGTGGTATACTTGTTATGACTCTTGTTATACTGGTGAAGAAACTGAGGTGGAGAACGTCCGTGAAGTCGACACCGTCCTCCTCTGTGAGCCTTTATCAGAAAAAAAAAAAAAAGCCCTCAAACCACCTGTGCACAATGGCGCCCTCTGCTGGCCACCTGGGAATAGGAATTTGGCTTTTTAATAAAGATACCTCAGGAAGTTGAAAAAGCCCCTCAACCAGCTTTCAGCAAACCTCGTCCTAGTTGGAACAAGCAGACCTTGTGGGTCCCATTAGCCTGTCCCCATCTACAAAGCCAGAGGCTTACGAGCCACAGAAGGGCTGTTCACTCTGAGTTGCAATTGCAATGTACACGTTGGCTGCAAACTGTTGAGGCAAACTGCACAGGCCCTGCCACAGTCCCCCAGGAGTGACAAGCCAGCCCCCACCCCTGCCCCGGCTGCCTGGTACAAAAATTCTGTTCTCTGCCCAACCTGGGGCAATGGCACAACAGGGGACAATCACCTCCCAAACTCCCTCACATGTTTAGGGTTGAACATTTTGGGAAAAAAAATAAAGAAAACAAAAATCACCCATAATTCCACTACCCACAGATCATCGCCCTCGGTACTTCAAGGCATTTACTTCTAGTCCTTTTGGGAGTCATGTACAGCATAAACATTTTTAAAAACCATGCCGTAGATGCAGTCTTATGCTGCCTTTTTCACCGCACATCACGTCAGTGGTGAGTTGCTCCTTACCCAGGTCTACGGCAATTACAGTCTCTAGTTCTCTGATCTTCCGAACAGCTGAAGCTGATGCGATGCTGTAGTGCAAAGGATCTTGGGAAATGCAGTGGACCTCTGGAATTTGGTCCGGGGTGAGAGAGCCGGCCAGAGCCTCTGTGTCCTGCAGGTCAGTCATAACTGCGCAACCCGGGGCGCTGGTGAACGCCAGCGGGGTCTCTGAAACACACAACAAGTGGGGCTGAGCCCACCCCACCCCATCCAGCCCAGTCCCTCCTGGTCTAGCCGACCACCGACAGGCAAGGTAGCACCACGCACCATTCTGCCACCCCCCCCTTACAGCGGTGGTTGGCACCATATGCCAGCTATGGCTAAGTCAAGTGTCACTGTAACAGGTGCCTCTGATGTTTAGGGAAGTGAAGTTGAGACAAGTGTGAGAAAAGAGGGGGAGGTAGAGCCACGGTCCCTCGGCGTAACCCCACGGCCATTAGAAAGTGCTTCCTGAACTCTCCCCAAGCGTCAAGCTGTCTCGCTTCCCTTGAGCAAGTGTTAGATTTGCTAACACATAGTTCTGTCTGAACGTAGCTTCTCTTTTTCTCACAGCACTTCTATTCTGCTTTGGTGTATTGTATGCTAATTTTGTTCTTAAAAAAAGCACGTGACTGTAGCGTGGCAAACACCCCTGAGTTTGGGATGTAACTTTATTCTCTAAACCTGCTGCTTCAGCTGTAAAAGAATGGTAATGGCCTCCTGTGGTTGTCGGGACCGAACTGGAGCACGCACCTGGAAGTGTTTAGAGCGGTGCCCGGCCCAACGTGAGCCCTCGGTGTGTGACGGGTTGTTCCTGAACCAGGCACCGTGTCTCGCTCAGTCTGTGTCCTTGTGCCTGGCCCATTAGGTGCTTCGTTCTTACTATACTTAGCTTACATCTTCTGCTTTCTTCAGTGTCTTATTTTCCTGAGTGCTCTAACCCCACTCGGCTGCGTGTTCCCGGAGATGAGGGACCCTCGCCTGTTCATCTCAGGATCCCACGTGGTGCCTTAGGGATACATAAAAAGTGCTCAGGAAATGTAGGTGTGAAGTGAGTAAACAACGTCTTGGATTTCACAGAAAACAGTAAAATGTCTCAGCTGCAAGAGAAAGCCAAGGTCAGCCAACACTTCCGAAGGAAAGCCTGCTGATGGATACATAAATCATTCTCACTTAACTTTTAGACGTGATGTTTAAGGAGAAGAACTAGAGATTTCGATGAGTGTAATTAGTGTTTTTCTGTGTGTTGGGCAGCACCCGAAACCGGTCACTGTAGAGGCAGGCAGATGTCAGAGCAGTCAGTTCCCAGTGTGACGGGGGTCTGCCCCTGGGTATGGAGGTGTGCAGCAATTCATCTATTGCCCGTCGAAGTTTAAATATTCGAGCTTGACATGAGTTATGTGAACTAAAAAGACTCCAGGCTGGTCTGAGTGCAGTGGTGCCTACAGTTAATTGATCATAGCCAGTTACAGATTTCTTGCCCCGGCTGGTATAGCTCAGTGGACTGAGCACAGGCCTGTGAAGCAAAGGGTCGCTTGTTTGATTCCCAGTCAGGACACATGCCTGGGTTGTGGGCCAGGTCCCCAGTAAGGGACATATGAGGGGCAACTACACACTGATGTTTCTCTCTCACTCTTTCTCCTTCCCTTCCCCTCTCTCTAAAAATAAATAAATAAAATATTAAAAAAAAAAACACTCCAGGCTGTCCCTGGCTAATAATGCCCTTTGTTCTCATTGTGATCAAATGTACGATCACAGAACTAACGGGCTGGAGTGTGCTGGGACCCCCAGGGCAGCGGGACCCCCACTGCAGAGCGTCCCCGAGGGCTGTGGCAGGACAGGGGTGAGGCCCCCGCACTGCAGGGTATTTACTGCGTGAGTGTGGGTGTGTGACCGTGTGAGCACACACACACTTGGAAATGGCCACAGCTCTCTGAGAACTATGTCTCATCTCAGGCAGCATTTTGTTCCTGAGATCGGGGCCATGCCTGGCACATAGTAGGTGCCCAATATGTTTATGTTAAATAAAGAGAATCCCATGGGTTGTGGGGGTTCACGCCTCACCAGCATGTCAGAGACGTATTTTCCTATCAGGAGGCCATTCTGATGGCTCAGTCTCCACGCATGCTTTCAAAGAAATTGGAAGTGACACTCAGTTCTATGATCTGCAGAGTCTCCCAGGGTCTATGACAGTGGGTGGCAGTTGTTATATTTTTATGTTTTTTGCACGTCCCGCCCTGACTGGCGGGGCCAGTGAGGGCCTCCATGCATCTCTTCACGGCCTGATCACCCCTGGCCTTTGAAAACCTGTACCGGCCACTCCGAACACCATGGGGAGTGGCTCGGGTGGTTGCCTTGCCTGTTGTCACCTCTGCTTTCAAAGCCACACTGACCTCCAAAGTGTCTCAAAAGGTCAATCTAAATATTGGCCACAAGGCAAGAAGCCTTCTGCAGAGAGAAATATATTTAGGCAAGATGGGTGGGACCTGAAGGATAAGTGGCTCTGGGGGGACCCATCCCTGGGGTGAAGAAAAAGAAACAGAGTCCAGGGACATCTTTGCCACGGGCTGCGGGTCTCTGTTACGTGACATGACCCTTTATATCGATGCGCTGGATAAGCCTGCCCTTCCCAGAACTACAGGCCCTCCGGGGTCCATCCTGCTCAGAGTGGTAGCCCCCCAGAGCCCAGACGTACTGCAGCTGCTGACAGCTTCGAGGCTGGTCAGGTGGGAGGGCCAGAACACCGGGACATCCCCTGGTCCACACACCTCGGGATCCCCATAGTCAGGTTTGGAGAGGTCTTGGATTCCCAGCAGCCCTGCAGACAGAAAAGGAAAATGAATTCCGCCAGGCCCCGCGCTGGTAGCTACTGTCTAAGCTGAACCTTTATGGTTCTTTCCCAGGGGGTCTCTAGCCCTGGGGCTGCTGTGAGTGGGGCAGAGAAGGATGGGGAGGAGCAAATGAAACAGGCTGAACAACCCAGGATGCTCATTGGCTGTGAGTCCACCTGGAGTGACGGAGTGACCTCCAGGCCCTGCTGCGGCTGCTGCAGGAGTCTGGGTGTGCTGAGCCCGACCCTTCCTTGTGCAGATTGCTAACAAAGCCGGTTTTTGTGAGTTTATCTCAGTATGGACTGAGTCACATATCACAGGGGCAAACTCGGTCACTAGACCAGCAGCAGCAGCCCCTGGCCAGCCCGTGGGTGTTGCTCACAGGACAGCAAAGAGGGGTGAGAAAAAAACTCGTGAGAAAAAAATCAGCAGGTGCTTTGCTTTGGGTGGTCCTGAGATCATTCGGTGAGAAAGGGGGTGGGGCCTGGTTGTATTTTTACAGAATGCCGTGCTTTGTCTGATTTTGTCTGTTCCACAGCTAAGCAAGTTCAATTGCACTCAACGCTAACTCACACCCGAGGCCCAGCCCCAAGCTCCCACCGGGCCCTCCGAGAGCCTCCAGGAGGCCGGGGCAGCATCCACGCTTGGATCTGCTCACTCACTCTCAGATTATGTTCCTCAAATTGAGTTCAGATGCCGGGGATTAGTGGGTTTCAGTTCAAGTTAACATTTGGGGCAAAGCCGTGTCCTACCCAAACATGCCACAGAACAAGAGCCGGGATTAGAGGCTGCTCTGAGCTCAAATCTCAAGACAAATGGCTCTGCTGCCACATTCCACCACCTGCTCCCATGATCCCGGTTCACTTGGAGTTCACAGGAGCTCTTTGCTATTCTGCCAAGGGCAGCAACCTTCAAATCCCAGGGCACCAGGGAGCCCAGCACCATTCATACAGCCACAGGAGGGCAAACACCGCACGTTCCGGTCTCCTTGAGCCGAAGTCCAAGAGCATCTGTCAGAGTCATGACAAGTGTGGGCACTGACCTGGGTCGCCGATGTGAACGGGTTGTCCCTGCACACCCCTCAAGGAGCAACTGGCCTGCACCAGCCTTTCCAGCTTGTCTTTGGGGACGGGCCTCATGGTGACCACCAGAGGGCAGCAAAAGCCAGCAACGGCGGCACAAGGCACAGTTGTCTGCCAAGAAAACAAGTTGAAAAAATGTTAGAACATAGAACTGGCCCCGATCAGAGCCCTGAGAACCAAGAGTTCAAGGCAGGGAATGAAGTAGGTGGGAGGTTCCAGTTGCTCTTACAAAACACATTGTCTACCCTCATGTGACGGAGAGAGGAGGCTGTTTGCTGGTCACTGCTGGTCTAACAGAGAATCTTAACTTCGTGTGGGCCCCTCGGGTAGCCTGGGGCAGCTGCGGAGCCCCATCCAGGTGATGCTCTAACCACATGACAGGGGATGCGTGGGGTTGCGGAGGGAACCAATCACACTGCCAAGGCAGTTGTCAAATTGGGAAGACACGTGGCACAGCCCTGTGTACGAGTCTTCAGGAACGGACTGAGGGACGAGCCGGCAGAGCCACCCTCGTGATCTTGATGTCATGACAACATTCAGGACGCATCTGAGGAGTCGGGAGGAACTGTGACGTGACATGAAAATAATCTGTGGTCCCTTCGGGCAGCCACAGAGCTGCAGGGTCAGCTGATACAACTGCAGTTGGCTGCCCACCTTTGTCATCCAAGGAAATGCTTAGTGTCAGTTTGAAGCTATGAAAATGAAAATGTGATTTTTCTTTGCACCCAAGTTCGTGGACCCTCTCAATTTTCTCCGTGGGCCTCAGTGGCCAGCAGACCCCAGGTGCACCCCCCGGGGGAAGCGGGGCTGAGGGGCCTGAGGGAGCGGGAGGTACCAGGGGTCCCGCGCCTCCTGGGCCCACACAGGGGTGGAGGTCTGCACCCCCCGGGCCCCACTGGGCCCTGCCTCACTCTCTGGTCTCAGTAGAAGTGACCCATGTGACTTTCCGGTCCCTGCTGTGGGGCTTAGGAAAGATTTCGGACCTGGCCTGGATAATAATCTGCTGAGACGGCTTTGGTGCCGCCCGAGGGGCTTGCTGTCAGTACCCTGGCCACAGCCAGGCGCAGCCTTGGTGTACCTGCCAGGTCAGCGTCGGAATAACAGCACTTGGGAGAGGACACAGGCCAGGGACACTCTCAGGAGGCAGGCAGCGATCCCCGAACCTCAGGCGCCTCCTTCATCCCTTTGTAGCTGTCACCTGACTCCCAGATGGCTGCCTGGCGCTTCTCCCGGGAACCCATTACACTGAAAGCTACTTGGGAGCCACCAGGGGCAGCACCATCCTGTGGAAAAGCTGTGTCTCCACTGAGTGCGTCCAAGGGGCCGTGAAGGGCGCCTCTGTGTGAAGCACCTGCTAATGGCCACCACTCCCCTGACAACGTTTTACAGATGCCAGCCGGGAGTACGAGCTCCAGCCCGGCTGTGGGATGTGGGAAAGTCCTCTTCTCTCTCGAGGGGCCACCGTTTCCTCATCTAAAATGAAAGGTTGTGTGTGCTGGGCCCTGGGGCCCTCCCATCTCTCCCCTGCCACGTTGGGGGTGTGCTCGGGCAGGACCCGGCCCCAGGACCTGCCGGCAGCTGGGGCTCTGCCTACCGGCCTGATACTCGCGCTGATATACAGGGGGTTCTGTGGACGTTCGCCCCTTCTTACCTTCAAGAAAGCCACCTACTTCACACATAAGGAAGCCACGCAGGCATCTATTTCACACACGAAAAGCAGCTTACGCCGTGGGCAGCCTTGCTTCTCATCAGAGAGGCAGCTCGGGCCTCCCTGGTGGGAGCCCAAGCCTGTAAGCCCTCAGCAAGTCCCGGAGCCCAAGATGAAATCTCCAACCTGATTCCTCCATGAAGAAGCCCGGAGCAGGCCGCAGACACGGGCTGACCCTCACTCAACCCAGCCAGTGATCAGGGGAACTTCCCGCCCTCACACAAGCGTCCTGGAAGGGGTCAGTGGGCTGAGGGCCTCTGGTTCTTTCTCCATAACAAACAGTGGCTGGAATAAGGCCTCAGAGGCACCACAGTGAGGCATGTCCAGGAGAGGTGACCACCCTGTGACTGTGACCACTAGCGGCCACCTCTGGCCAAGAATACAACCCAGCTTCCCTAACAGAGGCGTACCCCAGTGTCTCACGGCCTGGCCGAGGTGCTGCCACTGACCCGGGGCACTGACCCCACTGGGCACACTCTCACCGATATCAGGACATTCGATGGAGGGGGGGGGTTCCAACATCTCTCTGAGAGCCCCTCGGCTAAAGGAGCCACCCAAATGCCTAACAGGCTGGTTTGTGTAGCTGAAGTGATCAGTCCACAAGGGCTCAGTTCACACCCCCAAGGCCGTGTGGGTGCTCACAGCAGTCTCCAGGGCAGGCTGCTGGCCCCGTTTTCCAGATGAGGAGACAAGCTCGGAGAGGTCCCGAGTCGCACAGCTGGAACAGCGGCCGAGTTGAGCCAGAGCCTGTGAGTCCAGCTCCCTGAGCCGATGTTCCCTCCACCCTGGGAAAAGGCAGGGTGACCCTGTCTTCACATCACTCTGCCCTTGCGGACTGTGTGCCCACCTTGTATGCAGCCCCGTGGCCGCGGCCTGCTGGGTTTCTTCTGGGGAGCCCCCCTTTCTCCAAGGCCTCTTCCAGGGAGAAGCTGCAGCCCAGGAAGAAGGTCACCATGTCCTTGAGCTGCTCCGAGTGCCCCTCCAGCGAGGTCAGGCTGCCCGTGCAGGCACCAAACTCATACTTGCGGAACTGGGGACGGTCCGTCCTGGGGACACAGGGGGAAGTTCACAGAACCCCGACTCAGTATGGCCCTTGACCATGCACTCTTAAGAAAGGACCAGGGAGAGCATGAAGTCAAGGAACATGTACAAAGGACCCCGGGACAGAGACGGTGGAGGGGAGAGCTGAATGGGGGAGGTCGGGGGTGGGTAGGGCAGGGGAGAGTAATGGCAGAAAAATAGGGACAACTGTAATGGATCAACGATTTCTAAAAAGGAGGAGGGAGAGAGAGTGGGACGTCTGGGGCTGAAATTTGGGCACTGGTTCTGAGGTGGGCACAGGGCTTTGAATGGGGGCCATGCTGGCCTCCTTTGAATCTCGGTAGATTGGAAACTATTAAATCAGCATGTGTATCCCTCCCCCACCCTAGTATGTTTCCTGTAACTTCAACCAGGGGCCAAGCAACCCAGCAAAAAACAAACAGTGGTGTCCTCTCTGCCATCAAGGCAGGGCCCACAGACCAGGGAGACAGAAGCCACGCGTCTCAAGGAAGCGCTCGGTGCTGGCAGTGGTGAGGCCACCTCCCCCCTTAGAGAAACTTCTGCAGGGCCAAGGACTTCGGTTACAAGCCTGTTATGCGTTCACCCCAAAGCCATTTGCTGCGTCGACCCCTCCGTGCCAGGCGCAGGCGTGCTCATGGCCACAGTGATGGAGAAGACACGCCCAGAAGAAGCTGGAAACCCTCCCTTGGCAGGTGAGACCGCATCGCAGTCGGATACGTGCAGGACAGAGCCATGAGCGTTCACGGTCCAGGTGGGGAGTGAGGCAGGGAAGCGGGAGACAGGGGCTCTCCCAAAGGGGGCGGCGCTGGAGTTGGGTCCTGAAGCATGAAGAGGAGCTCGCCAGCTGGACGGGGGGGGGGGGAGAAGGCGTCTGTGCCAGGGGTCCCCGAGCGGGTAGTGTGGGGGTGCTCGGGAAAAGGTAACGGGCGCTCAGCCCAGGTGGGGTCTCCGAAGGACCCTCCCACCTCCAGAGTCCTCAGAATGATAACAGAGTGCTCTCTCTGAGGGGAGGGTTGGGGGTGACCCTGCTCTGGGGCCAGGTCACTGCAGGTCTTGATAGGAGGCTAACCTGTCGGCTGCGGGAGGGCATGAAGAACGTAAACGCGGGAGTTGTGACCAGGTGTGGCATCAGGGAAGTCACCCAGTGGGACAGCGGGAGAGGGGTGGCGTGGGAGGAGGAGAGGGCGAGAGTGGGGGAGGAGACCAGTCCCGGCGTCCTAGGGGTGAGGCGTGGGAAGGTGGGCGCCCGAGCGCGGGCGGTGGGAGAAACGGGCTCTCTGAAGCACTGACACAGAAGCGGCACCTGTTCGGCCGTTTACGGTCCGTGTTCAAAGTCTGGGGGAGCGCCGCCCACAGCGTTAACCATGCAAGAGCCTGTCTGTCCTTCCCAGGCCTGTGCGGACAGGTGTCTGCCTTTGGCGAGGGGGCGGGCGGGTGGTAGCGTCAGTGGGATTTCTCCAGGGCTGGGCTGTTTTGGCGATCCCAGAGATTTTCCCTGGGTCAGTGTCGGGCCCAGGGGTTGGAGGTAGGAGTGGGGATGGGACGGGGAAGGCCAGCTCCTTCCTGAACAACGGTCCTGAGCGAGGCTCTGTGCTGGGCACCGTGGGGTCCTGAGGCCAGAGGCCGCTGGTGACAGAGACGCCTGGCTGTAGCATCTGGCCACTGCTGACCCTTAACTGCTGACCCTTGACCCCAGTAACCCAGTTTTACCTGGTGCCTGGGGCAGCACCCAGGGTGGACGATGCCCACCTGCCCGGCTCGCTTCGGCCCAGCAGGGGCAGAGGGCCGCCGTTGGTCTGGCAGAACTTCTCAAAGTCCGGGGCGAGGGACCTGGGCAGGAGCACCACACTGGCGGGCCGTGGCCCTGGGGCTGGGGAGAGGAAGGACACATGCGGTCAGTGCCCCCTGGGAGAACCCTCTTAACGTAACTTTTCACACACACGGAAAAATGCACGTCAGTGTGCCGCTTGCTGAAGTGTCAGAAAATGACCCCCCACACACACACTGTAACCAGCATTCAGGTCACGAAACAGCACACTGGGAACACCCCAGAAGCCCCCTCACGCCTCTGGCAGTGACCACACAGCCCCCCCCAACCCCGCAGGGGCGGCCACTCCCCTAACTGCTGGCATCCCAGGTTACGTCCGCCTGCGTCTCACATGGCGGAATCATGCAGTGTGAATCTTTTGAGTTTAGTTGCGTTCCTTCGGCAATATGTTAGAGAACCATCCGTGTTTTTGCGTGTTGGTTCAGTCTCATTGCTGGGTTATATAGTCATTGCCACAGGGTGCTTACGCCCTGAATGGCAGGAGGGCATTTGATTGGCTTCCAGTGTGGCGTTAGTGATGGGGCTGCCACGAACATTTTAGTACGTGCATTTTGGGGTTCACGTTCCTGTTTGGCGTACACCTAGGGCCGTAGGGTGCAGGCATGGTCAGCTTTGATACGTACTGCTAAGCAGTGTCCAGTGTGGTTATGACTTTATACCCCCACGCACCCGTGGCGCGTGAGGTCTCGGTCGCGCCACGCACGCTCTCTCCCTTCCTTGGCATCACTGCCCTTTCTCACTCCGGCCGTCCCAGCAGGTGGGTGGAGGCACTGCACTGAGGTTCTATTCTGCACCACCCAGGTGGCCAACGTGAGTGCCTTTCCGTGGGCCTCCTTAGCCAGGTGGGTGCCCTTTCTAGGGAAGAGACGTCACGTGTTTTGTCTGGGAAGACCCTTGACTGAGCTCACAGAATCCTTGACTTTCCCTCCAAGACACAGTTTTAGCAGAGCTACAGAGGGAGACCCCCCGCTTGTGTGCCATGGCCCCTCCAGTGGCAACCAGCCCCCCTCTGGGGTCTGAGGATGGGGGGTCTGAACCCTGACTCTGCCTCCCACCAGCAGCGTGACCCTGGGCCCCCCGTGTTCCCGCGGTAACAGGGCACAAGTCTGCAAGCTCCCTCCGGTGTACAGGTTACCTAACACTCAGGGGTTCACAAAGCAGGAGATGGAGTTGCATTTGCTCCGTGGACCCTTGTACAGACATTTAAGTTATGGTGCAGAAGAAATATTTCATGCTAATAAGAGATGTTTGGGCTGTACCATTAACAGCACAATACTAGATAACAAAACAGTGGGTTCCGTGTATTCCCCTTTACATAAAATCAGTGAGAGAAAGAAAAGAAATATATCTACATGCTAATCACGATTATTTCCAGGTGACAAGACCAGGTGATTTTAATAGGACTTTTCTCAGTATTCTAAAATTTATGCAATAGATAAGAATCATTCAATCACTGGAGAAAAACATATTTAAAAAGTTATGTTTAAAACAAAGGATATTCCCTTTAAAAAGACCACTCCAAAGGAAAGCACACTTATGCTCTTTTGGAGAAATAACCTTGGGTGCAGTTCTTCCAAATGCCAGGTTTGCTCTGTCAACACACGGACATTTCTCCTCCATGGTAATATAGTGAGTATTGCGTGCGCAGTGTGTGCCAGGCTCTCTGTGGTAAGTAATTTATCTATGTTATCCTCTGTATTTGACGTGTGAGGAGAACAACTGGGTGTGCGGCACAGCCAGGATGCAACCCGCTCTCACCGCTTGGAATTTGTGATCTCAAACCTGCAATGCTGGCCAAAGCTACCGACAGACTTCCAATATGAGGACGCACTTGACCCTGCCAGCTGCTGGAAGCCCGAGGAGGCCGACCGCGCATCTCAAGCAAGCCCAGCGTGCCTCTGAAAATAATCTGGGGGGGAGGTGGGAGGAACTGCACCAGCCCAGAGGCCTCACATTCCCTGGTCAGCCCCTTCTGCCCTCCAGAGCCCACTGGGAGAGCCCGTTGGGTTTTTAATGCCACCAATCAGAGAGGTATTATATGCCCACAACTTCCTTATTTCCTTTTTAGCTGAATGGACTTCAGAGCCACCGTGCTTGGTTTTGTTCATCTGCACTTCTGGTCAGAGAAAGTCCATGAGTCGTCCCCATTAGTAACAGGACATGGGGCAGAGGACCGAGTGGTGTCTTTTTGGAAGGGGCGGTAAACCAGGGAGGAGAAGATTGTTTTGGTCTGATGTCATGCGCACATCCCTTGGGTTGTGAATGTTTGCTGAGACTCGGGTCCATGACAACTTTGACGTGTTTTCTCTTGCAGGATCTTTTAGAACCTTGGGTGTCACTGCTGGGAGACAGTAGGGAAATGGGTGCCACCCACAGAAGGTCAGAGCAGTGTAGGGGGACTTGGCCTGAACCAGAACCAGATTAAAATGCTACATAAGCAGAGGGCAGTTTTCCGGGAGAGAAAGCCCTCCCATGATTGGCGGCCGTGGGTGGTTCTCCCTGTGGGGCTGTGGCGACTGAGCTATATGGTGCCAGACTCCCCCGCGTGAACAGGTATTCACACTGAGACCGGCCTGAGTGCCAGCCCCTTCTGGGAAGCTGGCTGGGCACCGGAGCCAACTGCATCGGGTCTTACTGTCAGTCTCGCATGCAGAGGCTGGGTGTCTCAGGGAATTCCTGCACTTTATACAGCTGGTATTTCCAAAGTTTCATGTCCCAGAGAATTCTTTTTCCCTTTCTTTAAACACCAAGCACCACTCACCCCCAGCCGTGCTGAACATGTTTCTGATGTTTGGTTTCTTTTGTAGGATCCAACTCCTTATGACAGAGAAAGGGCAGGACTTCAGGTGGAGGGTGAAGGACATCGCACTGTCCTTTGACAGGCCGCAGAGAGTCTAGGAGAGGGGACAAAGGAAACAAATGAGAAAGCGCAGCTCTCCTGAAGGCGGCAGACTCCCCCTACACTGCCACATCCCTGCCGGCCCAGAGCGGTTCCCGGCCCTGCCCTGAGATGGGTGTTGGTTGGAGCGAGTTCTCCCTCCTCCCCAACCCCTTCAAAACTCAGTCTCTAATGAGAAATTCCTAACACTTCAAGACCTTTGCTTATGCCCTTCCCCTGGCCTGGAATGTCCTCCCTCCCTCTCAGAAGGCCTTTGCATTCCTCGGCGCTGGTTCAGAATCTTCCACCTCTATGAAGAAGCCAGCAGGTGCGTGCTGGCTTAGGCTGGGGCTCCTGGGCCCTCGGAGCATTTTTTTGAGGCACTGAGTTTGGCCTAAATCACAGTTGACCTGATGTTCTATTTGACTCTGAACCCTCTTTCTCTCTCCCTGGGAGACCCCAAGTGCCTAGGCCTCTTCCACAGGCCTGAGAGCACACAGTATACAACAGAAATACTTACGCCCAAATGAACAAATGAATGAATGCCATGTGCAATCGCAAAGGAAATAGCAGGCTGAACTTCCTGTCGACACGTGACTCTTATTGTTTAGACTTAGGCCTCCAAGAGGCAGAGATTTTGTTTCTTCTTTATACACCCTCCCTGCCCCCACTGCCCGCGCACAGAGTCTTACACAGACTTTTGGTGAATGAATAAATACAGGGTGTGGCAAAAGTGGGTTTACAGTTAGTTGTGAGTACACAAAACAGATTTATGCTTATATTGTTATTTACTAATTATTGTATTTATTTATTTGTATTACAGCTGTAAACCTACTTTTGTTCCCCGCTGTACTGTAGATTTTTCAAATACAGAGATGGTCTCAAAGTTCTAGGAAATTAAATTTAGAAAGGAATTCTATAAGTTGACTTCTAATATGCCAGAAAGAGAGATTGCAATGCACTAGCAAAATCCAGGTCACACTGTGTTGGCCTCCAAGGCACAGACCATGTCTTCTCCGTCCAAATGTGCCCTGTGCCTAGCACAGCGGCTGCCACAAAAGTGGGAGTTCAGGGAGCGTTTGTTGAATGACTGGCTGACTGTAGGATGGATGAAAGCACAATTCAAAGGCAGTGCCCATAGCAGGCTCTGGACAAGCCTGATTTTCTGCTCTCCTTTTTGTCTAAAAGGGAAGAACCCAACGGGATTCTAAACCACCAGTGTATGTTTTCAACTCCAGTGTCAGAGCTAGAAAACTGGGTAAACCCCATGCCACTGGAATAAAGAAACTGAGACTGTATAAAGTCTCTGCCGAACACAAGTGTAAAAAGACTGCCCTGGACGGGGCAGAAAGCACCCCAGCGAATGCTTTCACAGCTGCAGGCACTCGGAGGAGAGAGCAGTTGGCGCTGCCCGGCCGGGCGGGGGTGCAGGGAGGGTCAGGCGAGGCTGGGCCCCGCCCCCCAGTGGAAGATGCTGAGGCTCCAGCAGCTGCTCTGGCAGGTCAAGCCTGTGCTTGCCCGCTGGGCTGACAGTGTGCGCCCGGGCCTGGCAGACCTCGCTTCTTGGCCAAACAGCCCAGGCGTCGCCTAAGATCCTGGGTATCTGCGGTCCCCACTGTGGGAGGCTTAACACCTCAGCCAGGCACTGAGCAAGGTCAAAGACAGAACCGTTCCATAACCGTGTGGGGACAGCGGCCAGAACCCTGATAATTGTCCTCACTTCATATCTGGAGGAAAGAATGAAGTGTACCCTAAACCAGTGAAACGGAGACCCCACAGGTACCCAGTAGCCCTCACCTCCCCCCATTATTACTGGGTAGGGTGTCAGGGGCAAGCTGGTGATTGTTTTCAGATAAACTGTGGCCGGAAGACCAGACTCTGAGGATGAGTGCCTTTCCTTTGCTTTATTTATTTATTGTTTCAATATGATTCAAACAGATCTAGGTCATTCCTGTAATAATGTTGCTCTCCTGGCCTGGGGATAAATGAGCGTAGCTACAACCCCTGCCCTGCGAGATGCAGGCTGGGAGTGTGCCAGGCACCCGGACGACACAGGCTGGACAGGAAAGAAGGCTGAGAACCCCTTCCCCCCAGAGTCCTCCCCTTGAAGGCAGAGGTCAAACAGAGCATGAAGGACGTGCTCACTGGTTCCTGCCCAAGAAGGGCTCTCGACATACCAACCCGAGAGTGTGCAGGCAGATGCCGAGTGACAGCAGCCCCGCCCTGTGCGGGGACCCACTGCCGCCAGGCCCTTCACCTTCACTGGGGCACAGCCACTGGTGCCTCACCACCACCCACAAAAGTCATCATTAGTCCCATTATAGACCAGGAAGCCGGGGCTCAGGGAGGTCAAAGAAGTTACCAGAAGTCCCATGACAAGTGTGTGACAGAGCCCAAATCCAAAAGCAAGTTTAAATTTATGCCTGCTTGATCAGTATCTACCTATCTACATCAATGTATCCATCCATCCATTCATCCATCCATCCATCATCCATCCATCCTGTGGTGTTAATAGGAATAATATACTCAGTAAACATAGTGGGGACTACCCCCCTGTCCCCTACAGGATGGTTCTGAGGACAGAGTCTCTTGGGTCCCTGTCTCTTTGGGGACTGAACCTTGGATTTCTCGGCTTTCCACCTGGGTCTCCAGTGAACCCACACCTCGGGGTTCCAGGCTTCTCTCACGCTCTTCCCTGACACCCGGACACTCTTCTCTCTCCTTCTGACCCTTGAGCTGACACGGCTTCTACTTCTCCCCCTCTGTGCTGGTTGCTGGGGTCTGGGGGCACCGAGGAAGGTGGCCCGAGTGTGTGCCCTAAACAGAGTGGGTGGGGGCTTGAACGGTGCTTGGGGCCCGGTCCCAAGCTCCCTCCAACTGCATTCCCACCCTTACCACATTTCCAATCACAAAATCCACCTGGTTCAGACACAATCCAGCATCCACGTGTTCATTGAGCAGGCGTCATGGCCCAGAGCACAGATGTCTGCTGGACCGTCTGAATTATAAACCTGCCCCTGCACTTAGGAGGGGATCACGAACCTCTCTGTGCCGATTTTCTCAACTGGAAGCAGGGACTGACCACAGCATGAACCTCCCTCAGCTGTGGTGGGCTGAAATCAGCTAACACACGGGAGGCTCTGAGAACAGTTCGGGCCGGGCCCACGGTGAGCTCCTGGAAGCTGTGCTGTGTTTATTACTCCTGCCCAGCGCGCTGCCCATGTCTCAGGGAAGAAGACAGCCACAGCCCAGGCTCCCGGGGGTTTTCTTCCCCAGAGACAGACAGGCACCAGGTAGTTACCACTGTGTCCGCCTCCCTGGGAGGGACGGGAAGGTAGATGGGTAACTGTGAGACCATGTGCGGAGCCCTCTGGGGCCACGAGGACGACAGGGGGAGCTGGTGCTCAGACTAGCAGACAGGAGGGGAGGGAGGGTGCTGTCTCGGGGAACAGCATGAACAAAGGCCGGGAGGCACGTGGGGGGCACCAGCTTCCTGTGCTGAGGAAGTACATGGTGCAGGGGAGGAGGAGGGGAGCAGGCGCCGGGAGGCTCAGCAGAGCCAGCTCTGGAAGGAATTCGGATCCATCCCCAGAGCGAAGGGAAGTCACAAAGGTTTTCAGCGGTAGAGTGACCAGGTAAGACTTACCATCTATGAAGGTGATTCAAGCTGTAGGTGGGGGGCAGACTGTAGGACAGGAAGAGTGAAACGGTGGCAGATGAGAGGGGAGAGAGGCCAGGCCAGAAAGATGAGCATCTAGAACATCTCAGTCCCAGAGAAGAACCTTGCAGAAGAGAAGCTGGCTTAACCCTTTGCATGCCCTGCTGGACCAGCCAGGGCTCAGCACACTCAGGTGGAGCCACGGTTGGTCTTGTGAGGCGGGCACAAGGGATCACACAGACATACATGCCAGGGAGAAAGTTCTCTGCCTCCCTTCAGTTCCACCAGTGCAGAGCTTTGGATCTGTTTCATTTCTTGCTGTATCTCCAGTGCTTACCACAGTGCCTGGCACGTGGGAGGCACCCAGTAAATGCCCACCGTGGGGAGCATGGACAAAGCAATCGACTCCCACAAAGGCAACCAAGAGGAGGCAACCAGGGAGGTCGGAGAGAAACAAGGTGGCTCAGAAGCCAAGGGAAGCAAGTGTTTCTGGGAGGAATTTACAGTCCTGGAGGGCGAGGAGGGTAAAGCTGGAGCATCCATCGGATTTTACTCCTCGTGTTCTCCCTCCCTCCCTACAGTGTCAAAGCCACCACAGCTCTGCCAGCCAATAGGCATGGGGGCACCTTGTGCATGCACAGGATGTGACCTTGAGCGGTACAAAAAGTAACAGAAGACACAGTCTGTTTCCTTGACCCTCAGAGTCGAGCCAAGATCACACTATTCAAAAGCGTAAGCAATTCCCGGTATTATGAGAGTTCCTTTCTGGTTCCCGTAGCTGCCTCCCGATCACTTGCCCAGAGTCCCGCACTTGACCATGGAAGAACAGACTAGGTGGGAGTGCAGACCTCGTCTCTGTTCATTAGTTTTTGTGGTGGGAGTTGTTCAACATTGGCCAAGACGGTTACTGGTGGCAGCCTACATGCCACTGAAAATTTGCACGATAGATGTTGCCATAAAGGAAAAAGGCATCCTAAATACTTCAAAAAATTTTTCATTACAGTAACAAAGACAAAAGGTTGGCCAAATGCTGGGAGTATTGTGAATTGATTAGTGTGGTTTACTTAACAGGACGATTACCAGTGCTCCCACTGGGCAAAGGATTGCTAACAAAACAAGTACTTTCTGCCGAGGACGGTGGCGAGGTCAGTGGCGGTCTCTTCTCCTTCCCCTTCCTGAACAATTCAGTCCTGGAGTCAGGAGGTGGAGCAGAGCACTGTGGGTGGGCGCCAGCGCACAGGATGGCCCAAAGCAGGGGGTCAGAGCCCAGGGGCTGTGGAGGATGTCCCCAGGGGTGTCCTGTGGTGTCACAACCTGTTCAGGGGAAGGAGGAGGGATTCTGCAGAGGGCGGCAGCCT